TACACGGCAGGGTAATAGAGACCCTGTGTGAGATTCAGAGGAGCTTGGAGACCTGATCCATCGCCCACCTCTTCCTGTCTTTGAGCGCAAATTTTATAAGATGTATCTCCGATTCCGATTTTGGTGGCGCGTTCACCCAGAGCATCCGGAGCTCTGTTCCGTGGAGCCTAGCAAACTCCACGTGACCATCCGTGTTGTCTGTGTCTGTAACCGCAACTCAAGCAAGTTTTCCAGCCTACACCACTGCCATCTCGGTGTAAGTAAACAATCTTTAAAACTACCGCTAAGCGTTTGTGCCTAATTCCAGCTCGTCGCCCTCCCTCTCCGATCCAGCGTGCCCGGGCTGCTGGCCACAGCCCGCGTGCAGCACGGAAAGGGGCTCGGGTCGCTCCCGGCCCGCACACCTTTTACTCTGTATACACTAAATAGCTCAATACAACCCTGCTCTTAGATGAGCTTTAGGTGCTACCACTATAGAAACAATACAAATAAAAATTCCTTCTGGAAGGCACTGACTCTACAAAGTCTGTCCAGGTGCAATCTTGCCCCTTGTCAGATTCCCACTAATGTGACCGATACATGAAAGAGGATCATTTTGGACTAAGTTGTTAAGAGGGAAAAGAGGAAAGGGACAGGGAAGGGAATTTAAAAACCAGGACAAAAATATAGCTAATAATTGTTATTATTTGGAAATGATACACAATATTAACCACATCATCTGATACTGTAGTTTACAGTCAAAGGCTCCCACTACAGAAGGCATCCTTCATTTTAGGAGGAAAATTAGTACATTTTCCCAATTTGTATACATATTTTGCCCTGAGATCTTATGCCAGAAATAGAAACAAGAAATAGGGAGAAAACATGATAAAGTAAAAGTTTCTTGCTGAATTGTAACTCCAGTTTACAACTACGTAGTTAAAAGCCCCCACCTTTGCAGTACATTATAAAGGCAAATTCCTAAACTGGTTTAACTGTAGACAATCAGGTCTCAGGGAAAAGGTCAGCCTAAAGGACATCTAAGGCAAGTGCTTCTTTGCCATTATCCCTGGCAGTACAGGCCAAAGAAGTCTAGTCTTTTATACTCTTGGAGATTCAACAAAGTACTGAAACGTAGGCTTAACTTTAGTACAGGTGATTTGAGCAAGTGCTTAAGTTACTTGCTGAAAAAACCCCAAGGAAGCTGGGGAATATTTCCAGCAGATTATACAAATATGAAGATAGATGAGATTTGAGAACTTTTAAAATGGATTCAGCTTGAGATCATTTATTAAAATCTACATATGAAAAAGAGTTTTGATATAGAAATTTCTACAGCTTTTTTTCCTTAGTATATAATTTATTAAGTGCTTATTTTTCCCTAAAATAATTATATTAAACATTTTTTTCTAAAATGTTAAAGTTACCTAAAGCCTTCACAACATACTACATAATTTTGTTGTACAGATTTGTTTTACAGATCTGTCAGATGTATTTATTCAGCCAGTTGATCATGTCCTTTCTTGCTTCTTCAATGTAAGGTTTATCCTGAGGGTTAATATCTTCTCTCTTACGATGTACAAAACCATGAGTCTGACCTGGAAAAACTTTAACTACATAATCAACCTTACAGTGCTGTTTCAGCTTCTGCTCCAGTTCAGCGACCTAAAACACAGAGCATTTTTTCTTTAGTGATACTGAGTTGCTTAGTTATGATTGCCAGTTCTCAGCCTTCCCACTCTTCAACTCCTTGGAAGATGAAATGTACACTCACATCAGTGCCTTCACTTTTGGGGAGTAAATGTTCTGAGGAAGTTTTAATAAAAACATTACCGCTAATGTTTAGAGAGCAGCACATGGAGATAGCAGGGAAACCTATACAGCATGTGTAGACGAAATGGGGGCCCTAAATTGAAGTGGTTGGTTTTTAAAAACACCGCTTCAATTTAGGGCTCTTTAAGCCCCTGTGTCATGCACACACCCAAACTTACCTGCCTCTCTGGTGGCAGGGAAGGAAAGGCGAGCTGCTGGCAGGCTAAGCGGTTCTTGGGCTGCAGAGGGGGCTGGTGCTTCCCTCTGTGGCAGCCGTGGTCCCTTCCCCAGGCAGCACCTGCCCACAGGCACCCGGCTTGGGTGGCCTCAGGGGGCACTGCAACCACGAAGGGAAGCACTGGGCCACCACGCAGCTCAGGCAGGCAGGCTCCAGGAAGGAAAAAGATCAGGTTTGCCTCTTTCCTTGGGCGGAGCCTGCCTTCCTGGGCTGCTGCCAGGCTGCCTGCACAGGCTTCCTGCAGAGCCCGTGAGCTGCACGGAGCCCGGTGCTTCACTCCAAGAAGCCCAGTGCTTCACTCCACGGCTGTAGGGCCACAAACTAAAACTCCTCAGAGGTGTTTTAGTTTGGTGCGCCCCAAGTCATTTAAGGCACATTACGCCACCAAATTTGCTACAGTGGCTGGAATTACTTTACAATATGCCAACGACGCATGCAAATACCAACACCGTTACAGCGGTGCAAAAACATTTAACCTGCTTTAAAGTGTTGTGCGCACACACCCCTCATTTCGTCTACACATGGCCTTAGATGCTTTATGAATAGTTTAGCTGGCACGACAGAAATGGGAAATATGGCTTCAGTGCAATTCCTTAGGTCACCAATGTGACTTGCAGTAGTTCTATGAAAAGCCAATCTGATTTGCCTTAGTAAAGACTTCAGAAAGCACGTTTTATTCATGCCTACTGCTTGGGGCTATGCTAAACTAACAATCTAACAATTTTCTACTGGGATATTATAGGTAGATGTGTGCAACTCAAGTGGACATTCTCATTGACTAGTCAATATATTAGTCATCATTTCGAGTTGCACATGTACAAGCAAGATGAATGAATGGCATGCCTTTGTTTAAATGTATAGATGTGTATGAAAAAATAGAGGCCTCTGAAGGAGTCATGCCCCACTCCACAGGATAAGCAAAGATATATGCGAAACGGGGCAAGTGTTGTTTGTCTTGTTAATTGCCCATATAGTGATGGACAGTGTACTACTATAGAGAAACTTGCTCTCAATGGTGCATAATTTTTTTATCATGTTAAAAGCCCTTTAAAATTTATGGTAAAAATAACTAAGGTTGGAAAGTAAAGTAATCAAAATTAGAAAATGCCCTATTTAAAGCTGCCTGTGCAACCTTAACTCTGCCTCCTTGTGCATCGTAATACAATTTTTAAATGACTCAACTACGCATTATTTTTTCCTTGTTTTCCTTGTTTCATTCAGAACACAGATCTGGTGATAAGTGATGCAGAGCTGTATAGTGAATAAGGCTAGGAAAGGACTCTGCCGTGTTCACCACAAAATCAGTTTGTACAGGATGAGGCAGGGCATCACATGATACATGCTGTGTGAAGCAAATGGACACTGTACAAGGACTATCAAAATAAATATTTAATGACTACTTTACTCTCCAAATATCATCTGTCCTGCACATTGAGGTAGGCAGTTTGCAGGAATAACAAGGAGGCTGCCAGCTGATTTTGCAAGCAGACCATGGGCTGGACAGCCATTTTCACGGGCTGAGTGTGGTGGCCCCCTCCCTTCCTAATTGGCCAAGGAGCCCAGGTAGTTCAGCCCCCTCCCTGCATATCGCCAGGTGGCCCCCAAACCACCGCTTACTTAGTAACGCATCAATTAATGGTTTCCATAGACTTAATCCCTTGATTAAGCCCATGGAAGCCATTAATGGCCACTTAGATCGCTTAATATGCGCCACTTAATGACTTCCATGGGCTTAATCGGGGGATTGAGCCCATGGAAGCCATTAATTGACATGTTATTAAGCAATCTAAGCACTTATACCATTTATACGCATGCTCTGGAGTGTGGGGGGGGGAGGGGGGGGCACTTTAATTAGAGTGGCTCCAAGAGCAGCGCCAATTAAAGCGCTGAAGCATCACGTGTATCAGCATCCCCATGCTGAAAAATGGCGATGGGGGAACTTTAATTAAAGCTTGTCAAATGAGCTTTAGTTAAAATGCCCCAGCTGACATTTTTCAGTGTGGGGATGCTGATACGTGTGATGCTGGAGTCTGTGGAGCATGGTAATTACCAAGCTCCAGCAGATTCAAATAATTGAATCTGCTCTGACATGCGTGTCGGAACAGCCTCCCTGCATGTGTCTAGGTGCTCTTAAGGTCTAAAATTGAATATCTTATTAAAATAAAGCAATGCATACCATGAATTGTAAGTAATAACAACTATATCAAGTAATATCAACTATCTACACTTTCTTAAATAATACCATCTAAGCACTTAAACCCTAAACTGAAATATGAAAATAAATCTATACAGAATATGAATTGTAACAAATACCAACTATACACACTTTAATAAAAGACATTATAAAAAGGAGTTTACTGAAACTGAATGTTAACCTTGAGACAGGCCATTCATGCTATTAAATGTGAGCATGCTGCACCCAGTCGCAGTCACTGGAGACATTCTCTGTCTCTGTGAGGTGAACACTTGTCCATACACTGAGATGGCATGCTCAGTGTCCACCAACTTACAGGAATGGTGGGGCACCATCTTGCCAGGGCATAAAGATGTGGAAACCAGTCACAGACAGTCCCAGAACACAGGCATCTGGCACTTTTTGATGAAGTTCATGTAAGCAGCACGTTCATTGTCTTGCTCTTTCCCTTTTAGCCTCATCCCAGGATTGCTTTCAGTAGCTGAGGGCCACAACTCAGTAAGGCACCTGGTTGGGGTCCAAAATGCAAACAGCACTAAGGTAGAGAGCAGCCAGTTGTCTGAACTGCAGTGGCACTGATGAGTAGTACCTATAGTACTGGTTTGGCTTCACAGCTGTTGCCTGGAACAGGTCCTTTCTGCGCTGGTTTTCACAAGGACAGCTTGACAGTTCTTGTGATGCCTTGTTTTCAACCCATCTTATAAAGTCCATGAACTTGTGTACACGGTGGATCACAGACTGCCAGCCTTCAAACCATGTCAGGAGCTCCACGAACCAGGTGGTACTGTCAACCACAAATGTCATAATCTTGAATGTCTCCTTGTCTTAAGAGAAAGTGAAGCTGGCATGCACTTTGTCAGGTGTGATTTCCAGCTCCTCACTCACAAACTGCTGGTAGTACTGCAATATGCTTGGCACGGTAATGGACTGTGTGGAATCACAAACTCCACCTTGTGAGCACAGGCTCTGATGGCAGCAGCAGAGTGCCATGTGAGTCCCTGCTTTGATTGGCAACAGACTCCCTGTACTGGGCTTTACTACCTGAACAGTGCTGGCTTTTTGAAAGAAGGCACCAGGCTCTCCACCTCAGGGAACTGCATACGCCAGATGTCACTTATTAGGAACAGAATGTGCGCATTGCAGGTGACATGAACAGCATTGGGCAGCATTCCTTGAAGCACATTTGAGAATGCCATGTACATGTGCCAGGCTTTGTCAGACAGGTTGTAGCGGGTGGCTGGCTTGCCTGGCTCCACCCAGCTCAAATCAGTCCTTGAGCCCTTCAATCTGGTCCCAGTAAGACAGTCTTTCTCTGGGCTCAAAACCACAGGTTGTAATGCCCTGGGTTCCCCTGCTTCCCAGGGCTCAGCCAAAAGCAAAACAATCCAAAAGAATATGTCCTTAGCCAGCTCCCAGTAACAGGCTTTAAAGCCCCGGGGTTGATCTGCATCACAGGGTTCAGTTGCAAATATCAAACAATCCAAAATAAACACACCCAGCATGGGCTACCTCTCAACCTATGATCTTCCTTCAAGGAGTCCTTCCTCACCATCTGAACATTTCCCCCTCTAGCTCTTCCTCCTTACTTTCTCTTTCTGTTCTTTAATTTCTGGTCAGCTAGTCACTTTCCCCCATTGCTAATTACCTGCTAGCTGTAGCCTCTTAATTGGGCAGCTTGTTGCCAGCTGGCTAATTGATCCAGGCTGCCAGCTTGCAGCCTGTTACATGGGAAGATCTTGTTAAAAATCTATACCATAGCTGACAATTACTTTCACAATGGCTTGACAGATGCGAGGTGGACTGACTCAGTTTGAAATACTGGCAGGTCCCAGTCTGTCCAGCTCCCCAGTACAAATAAAATTTGAAGCATGTAGTTATTCTGAGGGTTGGTGGAGAATTCATTCATCAGCCACAATGGGAAAAGAATGATACTCTGCCAAGGCAGCCTTTGTGGACTGTACACATAAAGCAATCACTACAGGGAGATAGTCTTGGTGAAGCTTGTTGGTACATGGAAAACTGCCAGCATTTGGCACATTTTTGTTCAGGTAGTCCCTTAACTTTGGGTAATCAAGTTTCTCCAGTGGGATGTTTGCCGCTGCAAAAGCCTCCACAAGGGAAAATGCTGCGTTTGCCTTGCCAAACTGCTTTCTGTGGTCCTTTTAAACAGGGAGAACACGGTCAATTGCTTCTTGCTCTGACCTTCAGCCACTGCAGCAGCCTTCCTCTTCATGTGTGCCTCAGACTCCAAGTGATCTATGCTGGTTTCCTGGACATATCTGGAGTTACACTGCAGGAGGTACAGAAGAGCCTGCCTCCATCTGCATGCAAGGTCCCTGCAGGATACTGTCTTGCATGGTCTAGCACTGAATTGTATTTGGCTGTCCTGGAAGATTTCTTAGAGCTTATTCCTGCTCTTCCTCAGGTGGGAGCATGCATGCTGCAGGAGCTTGCCTATGGGTGCTTTAAAAACCAGTGACAAAACCCTCCCACTTCCCAGACTGGCTCCTGGACTGAGCCTATGTCAGGGGTTGTCTCCAATTTGCTCCCTCTCCCTCCCTCCGTTTCAGGACACAGTGACTTCCTGCCCTATACTGCTCTTGCAGCTTTACTTTTCTTTTTTTCCCCCCTGCTCAGAGATTTTGTGCTTTTGTGCAGGACCCGTGCTTTTTTGCAGAGACTGCCTGAAATCACGGTTTCTGTGAAAATTGCAAAATCACGATTTTGGTAGGTCCCTACCTATCATGAAGGACTATCTTGTAAGGCAAACACACAAGAACCAAGTATCTGTTGCATGAGCATATGGTATCTCCGAATTTGTCAGTGTTTCACTTTGCAACATTAATATTCTGTCAGTGTGGCTTGGTGTGGAAGCTGGCATTACTTTCCCCATGTGTTAATCACTTGATACTGATTGAAACACAAAAATATCATGTACAATCTAAAAATTTAAAACTTAAAAAGAAAACCCCCTCCTAAATATAGCTCCAAACATCCTCTGTCCTGCTATCCCCCAGTGAAAAGCTCCCTCTGCAGACAAAGTCTAGGAGAACAGTTACATCTTACAGAACATCATGAGCATTACCTAAACCCTGGTTGTTGTGAACCAAGGTGGGTAGTGAAGTTTGGAGCCAGAGACTCTTCTTTGAGAATGCCACCCCCCACCCCCTCCCTGCCCCCAGTTCTGAGTTACAGCAGAGGAGAGAGCCAGACACTCAAGGGATCAAAAATATTGTGCCTCTAAAAGGAGGAGTAAGATCTAGGAAAAGCTTACCAAGGTACCAAGGTACCACAGGACAGGAAAAGGGAGAACTTTTTTTTAATTATTTTTTTAAAATACCCAAATTACTTTTCATCCTTCATTCAGCTGAGACAAGGTCTGGCAATCTCCACTTTCTTTTCTTGCTTTCTATTTCTTGGATACTAGCACAAGCCTGCTCTGTGTTTGGGCTCCCAATACTGAAGGGAAAAGTGGAAGTCCAAAAAAGAAAGCAATAACAGAGATCTTATTTTAAAAGGAACTTACTTGGTCAAGAGCAATGACAACATCTTTTTCACCAAAAATGAAAAACGTGGGATTCAGCAAACTGTATCTGTCATCAGAGTCCTTGATTATTCCTTGGAAACATTTAAAAAAGTTTAAACATAGCAACTCTTATTTCAAGGTGAAAGAATTCAAGTGCCAACTTTCTCTTTGCTATTGGCCCAGATAATTATTTTTCATTATCTAAATATTCATGCCTTTTAAGCTTTAGGTGCACTTGGACATCAGCTTTAGTCCCAAGCAAACTAAAATATAGCTAAAAAACCCCTCTGAGAACATCAAGATATTAAATTGCATTTATGCCAACCTATGTATGTGAAAACCTACTTTAAAGAAACAGTTGCAGAACAAATATCTAGATTATATGATACATGTGTATGAGTGGGGCTGACAGCACTGACACGCATTCTACACTTACCATAGACTGACACACCAGCCTTTAATTCAAGATATTTTAACATCAGGTGATGTACAACAGTTCCACCCCAACAAAACCCAATGACACCAATCTTCTTTGCACCACATTGCTCCTTTAGATACTTCAAGGCAACGTCAACTTCCCTAAGACATATATAAAAAAAACCCAGAAACTAAGAAATCCATTGGGAAATCACTGCTTGGAAATCTGAAAATAAAATACAAAAATACACAAATCTCTCCTATAGTCTCCCTCTACCTTGTTTTCTTTTCTATAATATGCTTTATTTTTACAATAGCTATCCCAGCCAGAGATTAGGGGCTGCTGTTTGAAACACAGATTGACAGTCATTATTCAATTTATGAAACAGATGAACATTTAATGAAACAATTTTATCCAGAATGAGACAAATGAGCACCTGATATGAATAACACACACTGGAAGGAAACATAAAAGTACAGAAGCACAATTATCTATTACAATGCATAAACTGGAAGAATTTAAAATGGTGTGTGGAGGTGGTTCAACTCCTACCATCCAAATTATTATTTTTTTTAAATCAACAGAGTCCTGTCTCCAACAGAGACAAAAGAGGTCAGGCGAGCTGGAGTCTAGATTGCAATTATGGTGTGGAGCACTTTGGAATGTTCCGTATTGACAAGCTTTACTATAAATACAGTTTTTTGTTTGGTTCCCCATGACATAATGTTTCATTGTACTGGGTGAAGTTGCCCTCATATTAAGACTATAGTTTTGTAACTGTTCTGTTGCAAGTGTGGCTGACTGAGCCTGAGGAGAATGAATGAGGCTCTGAGGGAGCTGGAAAGGAAAGGTTCAAGGTGGACAGGGAGAAAAGAAATGGTCCTAGGGAGGGCAGAGTAAAGTCCAAGTGGGGAAAGGGGACTCTAACACACAACAAAGATGGCTTGTTTTGAAGAAGAGTCTGCTGTGCTGGGGGTGGTGGGGGTGCTACAGATCACCAGGGAAGCCAGGGTCTGAGAAGACCCAGGGTCTTCAAGCCAGAGGCTTGCCCTTTGTGAAGCCACACTAGGGCTGGCTGCAGGGGCTCCTCTCAGGAGAAGGAGACTGAATAAGGCTGCTTCTTGGATGAGTCCTGAGGGAGAGGTTTCCCATTCCCCTCAAAAAGGGACAGTTCAATCCTTTTTCATGCCAAGTTCTCTCTAGGGAATGGCATGACAAATCTAAACGACCTTTTTTTTTTTTTCAAATTGCACATTATTCTTACAGCTTGATTGCCAACACCAAAATATATTGCAAGCACCAGTTGGCTCTGAAGTAAGCATGGCCATTCAGAGCCTGTGATGGGAGATCATACCATTAGCACAAAGTAACATCTGGTCCTTCTTTCCACTCCAGGCCCCTTTAAGCTCAGTCCCTAAGATCCTGAACCTGGGCATGTAAAGCCCATACAAGACCAAAATATTGCCTTTCCAAGTCTTCACCACCAGTCCCTGATCACCCACAGAAGCCTCCACCCTGGAGCAGCCCGGCTTGGCCAACAGCAATACACACCAACCCTGTAACTGGCAGTCAAGCTTCCTTAGTGAAGGGGTCTATCCTGCCAACTTGTCCAGCTCCTTCCTCTTGCCCCTCAGTATCATCACATCTTGCCTGGACTGAGTTGCTGCTGTCAGTCAAGACTTATTCAGGACATTCAGTGATGCCTGGTCTGCAGTAAAAAGTTATGCTGGGCATAGCCATGGAAACTAGGAATGTACAAAAAGCTATGTGGATTCTATGCTGACATAGCTCTGGCAGCAAAATTCCTGGCATATGCAAATATGTTGGCAGAAAAGGGCTTTTGTCAGCTTAGCTGCTGTTGGCCAGAGGTGATAAAACTACAGAAGCAGAAAAATTCCTACTGGCAGCCATTGTAGCTATACTAAAGGGGCTCTGAGGCATAGTTATTCCAGCACTGCTTTAGGAATAATAGAGGTTCTGTTATGTAGATATGCCATAATGGGTTCCATTGCACTGTCTGGGGCAATTGTGATGGAGACAGATTTGGGTCTCATCAGCTTTTCTATTTCCTTCCAGAGGAGCATGTGGTACCTTAAATGAGAGAAACTTTGGGGCAAAGGAACAATTCCTCAGAGCTCCATCCATCCTACTATAGTTCACTGATGAGCCAATTAGCCCATATTCAGCTATTTCCTACATTGGTGACTGATTCTAGTAATTTACACAGATATTTGATTTTTGTCCATTGCTAGAAGGAGATGCATCAACTAACACAATCAATGCATTTTCTACCTCGCATCTGGGTCTATCACTGGTGTCAAGGAAATCTGAGGGATCAGGACACCTGCAGTCTCTTCACTGGTGTTTTCACAAATGCTGGAAATTGGACACCTGTCAATCATTGAATTGAGTGGGCATCAAGAGCTAATTTACTGGGCAGTGGCCTCACTTTCATTTTTAAGAGCTACAGAAGTATAATCCAGAAGCATAAAGCAAGAGCTACAAAAGCATAATCCAGAAGCATAATGCAATCTACCTCAAAGACATGCTTGACAGTTTTGCCTGACAATGGACCATTGTCCTTTGTCAGATAAGGACAAGGCTCCAACCCACAGGCATGAAGCACCCCTGTGTTTCCATTATCTTACTGAGCAAAAGTGGTTGAGCCTCTGCTGCCTGTGTTTGAATATTTGCTCCCTCAAGTCATGGTTTCTTTTACCTGGAGGTAAATAAGCTGAGTGCAACTCCAAGCAAGTCTGTCTGCAAAGTAACAGGAATATTCTTAGTAAGGACAGTGGTAGTCAATGACTAAACATATGCATTTGCTTACTCCGGTTGCAGGGATTCATCAGGACATAAACTACCTGGGAGTTAGAATGCTTTGCAAACATTAGGGTAGAATTAAGGAAATATTTCTTTGCTTTTTACACAGCTGCCATGTACAGTTTTAAAATATTAGTACATTACAATGGGTCAGACTCAGGATGAAACTTTTATTTCCCCTTTCATTATAGGTCGCTGTAAACTGTGGTGACCATGAGAAGGCTTGTGGACAGAATGTTTAGCAGTCATCGTATCAAGATGAGAAAACAAAAGACTATCCTACCAAGCCATCAATGACAGAGTAATCTCATCCCTCATTACTTACTGGAACATCATCAGTGCCACCTGTTCCTAAGGGCTGATCATTATTGTGGTATGTCAGATGCGTCTTAATCTCAAACCAAACAAGACAATGGTTTATCCTTGATGGTAAATGCAATATCTGTTCCTCTAACATCTTACTTGTCTGTTTTTCTGGCATTTCGGGTTTTCAGCCAACTCTCAAAGGTGGACCAGTCGTCAGAAGGCTTCCAAGGTTCTTTCCCCACAAAAAAGTCTGGGCAAATCGCTCTGTAGGAGAAAAAGTCTATATATCAAAGCCATAGATATTTCTGATCCTTTAATCCAAAGAACATGTCTATTAAATCTCTGAAAGTGTACCAGTTTATTTTCTTGGAGTATGTCATTCTTTTTTAATGCTGTTAACAATTCTTAAAGAGTATGAATAATTTTTAGAAATAAATACAAATAACTGTACTGTTTTCTTACAAAATATTCTTTGAATGATTAAATGATGTAACTTCATTTGCGATGCAAAGGAAGATAACAGTACTTTTCTTCAATACTTTTTCTGTTTGGGTAGGTAGGCTGTCAACTCTTCGGGGAAGTGACTATCCTTAATATGAGTTTTTATAATGTCCAATAAAAGGGGATGTACCCTCATCTGGATTTTGAAGGTATTGCTGTGACACAAACAATAAAATAATAATTAACTGGCCTTCTAAGAAATAGTTTAATGAAACAGACAATGACCAAACTCAGATGCCAAAGTCCTGATGGTCAAATTTTACCCTCTGACTCTGGTCATGGACAAACTTTATATTTGTAGCACTACAAAAGTCTAGGAGACAGATATGCATGCCCCCATGGCATTAGAAAAATGGTAAGAGCTGCACAGACATGTTCTTAGATGAAACAGGAACTTCCTTGAAGCACTGTTTTGTAGTGTCACATGTAACATGCATCAAGTGCACCACAGTACTGCAGGGGGTTTCAGGGCTCCCTGACATCCCACTCCCCTATCTCCCCCAAGCTGGAAGGGAAGGAAAACAGGGTGGACAGAGTGTAGCACTGTGTGAGAGTCCAGTCCTGGTTCCAGGCCTACTCACAGCTCCATCTCTGTCTCCAGTCCCAATGACTCACACCTGCAGCCCAGTCAGGACTGGGCTGTGAGTGAGACTGGTCCCAGTCCAAGCCAGTTGGGCTGCAGATCTGAGCAAGCATGGGCCAGGGGCCAGGACAGAGCTGTGAGTAGGCAATGTCCCAGTCCCATTCACAGCCAGTCCTGGCTAGGCTGCAGCTCTGCTCACCACATCCCAGGAGGGGTGTCAAGCTGCCAGTGAGTGGATTTACAGGCTCCAGTTCCTCACTGGGGTTGGGGGAAACAGAGCTGCAGGCCTGAGCAATATCCTATCCCACCTTGGCTGGAGTGCACACTACTGAATGCCTTCTGCAGTGCTGCGGCACTTTTAGTGCTACAAATGAACAGCTGTCCACAGCCTCTACCGTACCCCACTCTATGCATTCAGAAAGCAACAGGACATAGACCTTTCACTCACAGGTCACCTGCCTGCCAGCTCAGTCGTGTTCTGTCACGGGCCAAAACAGTGCAGCTCTAGCTGACACTCTTGTCCCCAGTAGGGCAGAATCCCTTGTACCACCTTTCCCCGAAAGACTGTGTTAATGGCTTAGCTGCAAAAAAGTGGCAAAAATGGGCATGCATAGTGCTTGACCTGTGGTTTGGTGGTTAGAGTGCTGTGCTAAGCACAACAAGCTCTAATTCAGAACACCAGTATCTCAGGGAAGTACCCTAGCCTGACCTGTGCTTGAAGTGGTGCATTGGGAACTGTAAGAGCTCATATCCCCTCTAGATAGCAGGGGTCCAGGACCTCCAGCATCCCAAGTGAGTGCTCTAACCACTGAGTTATGAAGGCAAAAGAGGGACAAATATACACTCCTGAGGCTAAGCCTTGTAGTCATGGAACAGCTTCGTTTTCAGGCATCAGTACCTCTCTGTTACTTTAAGAGAGAATCAGCCCAGAGAGGGAGCACTGCAGGCCAGGCAGGGGGAGGCTGCAATTGGGTTGTCTTAGTAACCAGGCAATTAGCTCAATTATCAGGCATCTGCACAGCAGCCTAGGGTAGTCTCCTGACCCAAAGAGGACAGGGCCCTGGGAGGCATATAGGCACAGGGCCTCAGCTAGCAAGACAGTGTAGCCCTGCAGGCCACAGCGGTAAGAGCTCCTGGCCAGGAAAGCCATCAGGGAATGCTAGACAGACTGCTGTGCTGCCTTGAATTACCAGTGAGGCTCTTGGAACTCGCAGAGATATGACCTTGTCAGCTGATATTTTTAACAGTTTCTTTGCCTCCGTTTTCCTGAACAGGGACCGGGATATCCCACCTACCAGAGGTAGGGACAATCCTGGGGATAGCTCTATCAAGCCTTTAGTCAGTGCAGATGTAGTTCAGGATCTTCTGGAAGGGCTAGACATTTTTAAATCTGCTGGTCCAGATGCCCTCCACCCAAGGGTATTGAGGGAGCTGGCAGGGGTCATCGCGGAGCCTTTGGCCCGGCTGTATGAGCATTTGTGATCATCTGGCCAGGTGCCGGGGGACTGGAAACTGGCTAATGTGATCCCTATTTTTAAGAAGGGGAGGAAGGAGGACCCAAGTAATTATAGGCCTGTAAGCCTCACCTCAGTGCTCGGGAAGATCAAGGAGCATATCTGTGGGGGGCCTGCAGGGGAGATCATGCTCAGCGGCAATCAGCATGGGCTCACCAAAGGCAGGTCCTGCCAGACCAACCTGATTGCCTTTTACGACCAAGTAACTAAATCCTTGGATGATGGTGTCGCTGTGGACATAGTCTTTGTAGACTTTAAGAAGGCCTTTGACACTGTCTCTCACCCCATCCTCATCAACAAATTAAGTGACTGCGGCATTGATGCCTGCACAATTGGATGGGTAAAAAATTGGCTGATGGGGCGTACCTAGAGAGTAGTAGTGGACGGGTTGTACTCAACCTGGCAAGATGTGAGCAGTGGGGTACTCCAGGGCTCAGTCCTCGGGCCCGCACTGTTTAACATCTTCATCAGTGACTTGGACAAGGGGGTGGAAAGCACGCTGTCCAAGTTTGCTGATGACACTAAGATGTGGGGCGAGGTGGACACACTTGAAGGGAGAGAGAGGCTGCAACTAGATTTAGACAGACTACAAAAGTGGGCAGATGAGAACAGGATGGGGTTCAACGTAGACAAATGCAGGGTGCTGCACCTTGGGAGAAGGAATCCACAGCATACATACAGGCTGGGGAGTTCCCTTCTTGAAAGCACAGAGGCGGAAAGGGATCTCGGAGTCATTTTGTTTTCTAATTGCATTAAAACATTACAAAAATCAGGCAGAGGCCTGCTTTTCAGGACCTGAGCACAGAGTTCTACTTCCTGTTCCTCGCACATGTCTGTAACTGTGTTTAGTTGCAGCATGTGAGCTTGGCATAAGTTAATGGCCCATAGTTGCACTGAATGCCTATGGAGTTCTGAAACTTGGGACAAGCTGTGTACAGCTGGGAGCAAAAGAAAGAAAGAGTATCCATAATGTGATAGGTGTGTATATTTCACTTTATAAATTAGTTGGTAAAAATTAGAAAAAAGCCACCATCACCATATACGTTAAGTTAAAAGAGGTTGTTTAAGGAGATCTGGCACAACCTAGTTTGAATATACATTTATTTTGTTTTCTAATTGCATTTGAGTGAAACCATTTAATTTCTTTAAATCTCCCATACAGTGGGATAACCTAATTGAAGAGTGTGTTATTAATACGTTTGTCAGTGCACTGCACCTTTAAATGCCTAAAGCATTCACTTGCACAATCATTTTTCTTTGGACAGTTGCAGCAGGGTGTGGCGCAGATATATAATGTACACAAATATCTTACAGGAAGGGGTCTGCTCCTTAAGATTTTTATGTTTTCTTAATTCTATAGGAAACTGTCCAGACTAACTTGCATATAGGAATCACAAACCAGGTCATGATCTTCACCTACTGAATGTAGAAACATCCCTTCAGGAAGAAGACTTTAAGACAGAACACTTACATGTATCCATTGGCTGCCAGCATATCAACCATGTATCTGGTGTTTGGGAGTTGCCATCCAAAAATATCCTGAATCACAATCACAGCCTTGTCTGTGCTGCAGGATGGTTTGCAAACATACGCCTTGATATGCTCAACCTGAACTTCCTGCCCAAGGCCTCCATATTCAAATCTGTCTCCAATGTCACATGGGCAAGGTCTTCCTTCGTTGGCCATGTGGGAATCTGCAGTGAACTAAAAAGGACAAGTGACCCATTTAACAACTCTAATTAGTCCCCCTGGAGGATGCTTTTCTCCTGGGTTCTGGGACACATGCTCTAGCCTAGCTACCCCTAGCATGCTTTCTGCAAGTGCTACTGGCACTCCATGATCTGGACTACTGATGCTCCATAATCTGGCCCACAATGGATCCCCACAGATGCTCACAGAGGCCAAGCTAGTCAAGGGGGAATGGTGCAAATAAATAACACAAGTGCAGAGACTTTAGCAGTTACAAGCATTAACCCAGAGTTCCTGTACGTGTCCAGTATGGGGTACCCATGTCACATTGTGCCACCTTACCTTCAAGTCATACCTCCTCCTAACAGACTGTCAGTCTGGGACTTCACACTGCTTCCGTGAGAACTTTGCTATCACTAGGCTATTTCCCTGCTCAACTGTCTATCCCAGGCTGCATGCGACCTGTAACCCTACCTTCCCTTCAAGGCCAGCTGCCAGGCTCTTGCTCCTAAAGCAGGCTTACCTGATCCCCTCAACCCTGTACCTAGAGAATGCTGAAGTCCTCTTTTGGCTGACTGATTCCACCCGCTAGCTCTGTTCCCTCCAGCTCAGCCAGCACCATGTACTTCATGACATAGCGGGTGTGTTACACAATTCAGACAGCAATTAGGCTTGCGAAAAATCAGATCCATAAGTAACTTTGCAGCATCACTCACCTCTGACAGTTAAAACCTGGATGCAGAGGTCAGAAGATACAAACTTCTGGAATTTGTGAGAGTCAAAGTGGAAACAAAGAAAAGGGCAGTGATGTTCAGAACTGACAGTGGAAAAAGAGAGACAGAAAGCAGAGTTAGAAACAGAATCTGAACATATTATAGGAAAGTTAAACAAAGAATGGTAAGCCCTTCATGCTAAACAAATAACCTTGGGGAAACCAGCTGACAGTTGTCACAAGCGAGTCTGGGAGTGAAGGGATGCTAAATGGCACGGGCCATCTTGTGTAGTCAAAGCACAGCAGCAGCATACAAGTCAGGAAGCAAATGGGAGTGCCATTAGAACATAAGATTTGCTACTTAATGGGTCAAACCATGGGCCCATCTAGCCCAACATCCTGTGTCACAATGGCAAAGAGTGGATGCTGAAAGGGAGAGTGAACAAGGGATGACCAGGGTTTTTTCCACTGTTCCTCCCTCACTTTCAGCCTCCAGCACTTAAGGTCTAGAACAGGGGTTTTCAACTTTTAAAATAAATGTACCCCGGTGGCTAGATGTGGAGCGGGTGGGACATGGAGCGAAGGCAGCGTGGGGTGGTGGCGGCTGCCGCTGCCTGCAAACTTCCCTTCCTCTCCCCTGCATCCGGCCGGCTGGGTGGCGCCTGTGCAGCCCGCAGGGGGGCGCCGCTGCCCTCACCCCCCGCCCCTGCTCCTGGGATGGGGTGGTGCAGTGTGGTGGGTGGCAGTGCGCTGTCCCCGCCCACCTGCACGTACCCCCTAGGGCCTTCCCAAGTCCACCTGGGGGTACATGTACCCCTGGTCAACAACCCCTGGTTTAGAAAGTTCTAATTCAGGGGCTGTATCCTTAACTCTCACGCTCAATAGCTACTGATGCCTCTTTCCTCTGAGAATTTGTTCAATCCCTTTTTGGACAAATCCCAATCCCAACAACAATGCAGGCTGGATTCCTGCCACACCCAGCTACACAAGGGAGACACAAACCACAGGCCACAGAATGGGGTGGGCCACCCGGACCACGGCCCGACCAACTTTTAGCACGTTAATTTATATAACCCACAAATGTGCAATTGTTATTCTGGTTAAAACTGTATACCTATTTTTTAATTGCATAGCTAGCTACATTAACGTGCTAAAAGTTGGTCGGGCCATGGCCCGGATGGCCCACCCTGTTCCACAGACTATGACACAAACTCAGAGCAAGGTCCCACTTAATAAACAGCCAATTATCATGGGGGACAGAACATCCATAGCAGAATCTGGGTAGAGCCTAGTGACTTCAACTCTGCTCTATCTGCTTCTGCACTGCACCTAGTTTTCTCCAGCTGCCTCTGGTTGGCTCCTCTGGCTGAGGGAGAACTAGGACCACAAGGGCCTTAGTGCCCTGGAATATGGGGGATCTAGCTTTGTCAATTTTTCTCTGAAGCTGCAGAAGCCAGTTTAAAGTAAATTGGGCTCTACATCACTTGTACTTCCAGCAGGCAGACATAAATACCTGACCACTGTTTTATGCATTTTCTCTAATGTAAGACCTTTCCACTTCTACTATACCAAAAAATCTTCTGCCTTAATTAATTCTAATGCCAATTTAGTCGGCAGATGCAGAGGAACATTTCTTTCATTTGTAGTTGTTTTTTCAAAATTGAGTCAACTGGAAATTGCAAAAGTAGGAAGTTAGGTTCCTGGCATGTTCAGGCATTTTGGGCTACCTATCTATTTCTTTAATTGTCTGACCGTCCAACCAAATTATGATTCATGATTTCTATAGACTTAATCCTTTCTAAAAATAAAACCAAATCTGTGAAGTGAACATGGTTTACAAAAGCTTGTGCTCTCTCTATATATACATCTTATTTAGTTAGTCTATAAAGGTGCATAGCTACTCTGCCTTCTTCTGACTGACTTCAGTTTAACATGGCTAACTACCTCTCTCTAACGATGATCGTGACAGAAATAAACCCACTGTATCAAAGTCCTGCACTTAGGGTAGAACAATCCCAGGCACCAATACAGGCTGGGGGCTGACTGGCTTGTCAGCAGCTCTGCAGAAAAGGACCTGGGGGTTACAGTGGACAATAAGTTGAATATGAGCCAACAGTGTGCCCTTGTTGCCAAGAAGGCTAACAGCATACTGGGCTGCATTGGTAGATATGTTGCCAGCAGATCAAGGGAAGTGATTATTCCCCTCTATTTAGCACTGGTGAGGCCACATCTGGAGTACTATGTTCAGTTTTGGGTCCCCCGCTACAGAAAGGATGCGAACAAATCGGAGAGAGTCCAGTGAAGGACAACGAGAACGATTAGGGGGCTGGGGCACATGACTTATGAGGAGAGGCTGAGGGAATTGGGCTTATTTAGTCTGGAGAAGAGAAGACTGAGGAGATTTAATAGCAGCCTTCAACTACCTGAAGGGAGGTTCCAAAGAGGATGGAGTTAAATTGTTCTCAGTGGTGACAGATGACAGAACAAGGAGCTATGGCCTCAAGTTGCAGCAAAGGAAGTTTAGGTTAGATACTAGGAAAAACTCTCTCACTAGGAAGGAAGTAAAATACTGGAACAGGTTACCCAGAGATGCTGTGGAATCTCCATCCATGGAGGTTTTTAAAGACCCGGCTAGACAAAGCCTTGGCTGGGATGATCTAGTTGGGGCTGGTCCTGTGTTGAGTAGGGGGTTGGACTAGATGGCCTCCTGAGGTCCCTTCCAACCCTAATTTTCTATGATTCTATTATGCTAATATGAAGTGTAGTTAAAGAATCCAGATTCCAGTGCCACGCTAAATCTACGTCCACAAGATAGACCTGACAGATCATAGCTATCATAACTTAACACAAGAGAGACCTATCAGGGTATTCCATGTAAGCCTTACGGGGCTCTAAAAAATACTAACCAAAGCACTGAACTGCAATAGGAAGGTAGAGCAGAGAGCACTGATGTAACATGATCAGAAGGATCTTAGGTGGCTAGAAGGCAAGAAGTTATTCTCTACTGAATCACTTGAATCTTGTTTAAAAGTTCATCAAAACAGGTGTTGCAGTAATGTAGCCTGCAGGTTTGAACCAAAACAGAAGAATTCAAGCTTCTCTTTAAAACAGCTTGGTTAGGAAGCATCGGTGCTGCGACTGTCCACTGCAATCCACCAGCTTTATTTCATTTCACTTTAATAAGAATCATTATTTGTAGTATCAAAATATGCAAGACTATTTGTCCCCAGTGCAAAATGACAGTGCCTTTGGGATATTATTAAAACCTGATAAGCCTGCCAGTTATAAGAAGTGCCATTTGAATAATAGCGTCCTAAGGGTATTCCATGGACGCTTAGTCATTGATGGATGTTTTCCATCCATGGAAATAGTCATTGTATGATGTTTTCCATCCATGGAAACAAAAGCAGAGTTTTCTAGACTGTTTAAGGGAATCTTACCCTCCTTAAAATTGCATTGATCTCTCTAGACTGGATTTTCTGTTGAGAATAATTTGTTAGAAAAACCTTACTTACCCAAACGGTATAAATTCAGACTTTCACCAAACAGAAATTCAGTTTGCAGAAGACAAGTCTTATTCAGCCCAAAAACCTGCTAGTTAAGTAAACAGCATTAAATGGAAGCTCTGAGTTCAAATCTGATCCCAGCTATCAATAAACCTGATCCTCCTCTTCCTCAAGGAGCAGCAAAAGCAGCATCACTAACAGGGAAGACAAGTTCTTAGTAACCAGGAGCCCGTTTCTAATTTTGTGCCTTGTCCTGAATTTCCTTATGTCACAATTCTGTGATGAGAAGTCAGGGTGGGAAAGCCAAAGGAGCTACCTGCATAGAAAAGTGCCATAAGAGAAGCAGGATGAAGGGAGATATGGTGGATAATAATGATGTGAATATAGGGAAGAAAAGGTCCACCTGATCATCACATGGACATTTTCTGAGGTGAGCAAGTATGGGACACAGGCACTATGGGAAGGCACTCTGATACCGAAGTGAAGAGCATGGTATAACAACCTGAACGGAGCTTTACCATCTGAGACCAGCAACAGGGAGTTATTCACAGAAAATCTCCTGCATCATGCAATACTCATCGGACACCGCATCAGAACGTGCATGTAACAATCTTTAGAGCTTACTGCAAAGTCTATTTCCATGTGGAGGCTTTTAATTAAACAGCATCACTTAAATTTGAATACCTAATGCAGCATGATGTTGGAATTAAATTGGTATGAAACTGGAGTAAGGTGATGGGGAACCATGACACAGATGGTTCTCCATAGCATTTAAAAAAGAAGTTAAATAAAACCTCAAGCTTGTGTTGGAGCAAATCCTAACTGAAGGAACAAAATAAGTAAAACAACAGGTAGGAGAGGGGGATGTGGGAGACTATTTGGAGAATACATGCACAGAGCTTGCATGCTTGCTTGTAAGCTCCAGGCATGGCCTCTCATGCATCAAGTGTGGGGGTTGGAGGTGGAACAAGATGGATCAGGATGGAGACTGAGACCACTATGTAGCTCCAGCAGCCATTATCACTAGCAGAGGTGGGGCAGGGGAGCAACTTTCCAGCAGTTGCTTCACAACCTGGTGGCAGGGAGAGAGGAAGAAAGAGCTGGTGATACCCTCTTCCAGAGCACCCTGAGGCTCCCTCTACATTACTGCTGGCCAGGCAGGCTTGCCAGTGAGAAGATTTAATGCTTGGAGAACAGCCAGGTTTCATATCTCTTCTGCATGACTGGGCGCTTGACACGAACTGGCTTTCTTCCTCCGTACCAGCACGAGGAGGTAAACCCATGACGTCCCCTGGCTACACAGCCTGGCTCTTTACTTCAAGACGGAGAGTCCCCTGCACTAAGCTCAGGAAGCCTCAGGGACGGCTGAGCAGGCGGCTGTCAGGTTTACGTCTTTTCTGTGGCTCTCTCAGGCTGTTCTGTGCTGAACGGGGGCAGCATCTACATGGCAGCAACTTGCTGGAAAGATGCTCTCTCTGAAGCAACTTGAGCATCGTAGGTTTCCCAGGTAGGGTGGCCATAATAGAGGACAGGCCAGTTGTCTGTTGATACAAAACCAGACACCTTTATGTCCTCTATTTTTCTCACAGAGGCATCTGGTTTCATATCAACAGAGGACAAACGGATGATCCTCTATGATGGCCACCCTACCTGGGAAACCTGCGATGCTCAAGTTGCTTCAGAGAGAGCATCTTTCCAGCAAGTTGCTGCCCTGGATGTTGCCCCCATTCAGCACGAAACAGCTTGAGAGAGCTACAGAAAAGGCATAAACCCAACAACCGCCTGCTTGGCTGGACACCTTTACGTCCTTTATTTTTCTCTTCAAGAGAAAAACGGACATAAAGACATCGGGTTTCGTAGATGCTCTCTCTGAAGCAACTTGAGCGCCTTAGGTTTCCCAGGCAGGGTGGCCATCATAGAGGACAGTCTGGTTGTCCTCTATTGATATGAAACCCAACGCCTTTATGTCCTCTATTTTTCTCTTCAAGAGTAAAACATAAAGGCGTCGGGTTTCGTATCAGTAGAGGACAGAGCAGCAGGAACGTCCTTTACGACGGCCAAGGGGCTTTCAGACCAGTCACTACGCCTGGGCGTTATGCCGGTCGCCTACCCGTGCCTACCTGAAACACACATCGAGAAGCATTTGCCGGGCACCCCCTGCCCGCGGAGGGGCGCTGCTTTGAGGGGCGGGAGGACGGCGCTGTCTGGGGAAGGAGCCGCGGCGGGAGCGGCCGCTGCCGGGGCCCAGGGGTGGCGGTGCCAGGCGCACTTGCTTTTGGCGAGGCTCCGGCGCGGGTGGGGAGACTTGCCCCTCCGGCGTCCCACCCGGCCTTACAGATCCGAGTTCTGGCTCGAGCCACCGGGATCCTGAAGTGTGCTTCCTTGGTTACTGCCGAGAGCCCAACTTGATCGGCATGCCGGGTGTTTTGCCCAGCCTCGTTGACTTGCACTTTCCGTCGTTTACTTCGGTAGAAAGGGTTGGCTGGAGAAAGAGCAGTGCTGGCGCAGGGCCCCCGGCGTCCCACCCGGCCTTACAGATCCGAGTTCTGGCTCGAGCCACCGGGATCCTGAAGTGTGCTTCCTTGGTTACTGCCGAGAGCCCAACTTGATCGGCATGCCGGGTGTTTTGCCCAGCCTCGTTGACTTGCACTTTCCGTCGTTTACTTCGGTAGAAAGGGTTGGCTGGAGAAAGAGCAGTGCTGGCGCAGGGCCCGGCCCGCCGGCTGACAGGAGCCAGCGCAAGGGATCCCCCGCAGGGGCCGCAGGCCTTCACAGGTTAAGCCACTTCCCGCCAGGCGACTGCTGATCACCCTGGAAAGCCTGCAGCCCTCTGAAGGCAGTGCCAAGGCAGCTTTGTTTACTACCCTGACTCCCTTTTTAAGGGGCAAGAGACAAGACCTACTGAAAGGTCACCCGAGAGAGATGCAAGCTGTGTGGCAGGGCCTTTCCTGGCGGCAGGTTTCCAGCAGTCTCTGGGCAGTGAGAGCTGGGTGGTGCGTGGAAAGGGATTGCATTGACAGATGATGTGTGACAAATGGAAAAGGTTTAGGCAGCCGTGTTGCCGAAATCAGATGTTACGATTCTTCTGAGGTGTTCTTGTAAGGAGTGACCTAGAAAGCACTACCCAGAGACGAAGCAGAAGAGAATGTTATGAGATGAATGCCCATCTGCGATGATAAGGAGGAGACAGTCCTAGATAAAGGGGGCTTGAAAACAAAAGCAAGAAGCTAAGTACTGGGTTAAAGGGCTCATTAAAATACTAAAAATCACGCCCCTAGGTGGGGAAAAAGTATGCTAATGAAACACACATGTATGTAAATGAGATACATGGCTAAAACACAGGTATAGAGACATGCTCAGTGAAGAACTCCTTGCGTCACTCCTTTATAACCAATTAGCAAACAAGGATGCTTATGAAGGTTCAAAAACTCCTGTATAAAAGATGCTTAGAAATAGTGATCTGTGTGCTTGTTACGTGAAATTATTCCGCTCGCACCTTTTATTGCTAGCAATAAACCTTCTTTGTACTTTCACCCCTGGTATCTTTATTGGCCTTTGCATACCGGGCACAATCCCAGACTTGAGCTGGGGTTCAACATTCTGAGCATGGCGTAATATCCGGAAAGAAATGTCCTTTTAAAATAATGTGCTAGTATTGCAGCTGCCAGCTTCCACAACTCAATAGTCCTGTTTCTTGAGAGAGATTTCCCGACCCCCACCAGGATAATAGTATTCTGAATATGATTACTAGGACACTGAATCAGCATAATTGCCATGGGCAGGGCAACAGTTTTGACACAGTGTCTATAATTTGATACTTCTATTCATATTAGTCCCTCAGCCATACTCAGAAAGACTGCTTTTTTCCATTATGTGGACAGCAACTTATACTGAGTACTGCTACACATCCTAAGCAACCCTTTTCTACTAAATGAAAACTGTTTCAAATAATTACATGGAAAGCTAGGACAGTCCTAGTGTCATTTTCCCCCCCTCCAGACACCAAGGCATTATACTGAAAACACAAGAATGCTTCTTTGAGCTGTATTATTATGGCATAAGCATTTTTATCAGCACAGTCTTGCTGATAAAAATGCTTATGCTGTAATAATACAGCTCAAAGAAGTCTACACTCTCAACATATAAGAGTTCTACGAATATCAGCTGTATACAAGGTGGAAGAGAGAATATACCCCAGAGAAACTGGAGACCTGTCTCCAACAAGATTATAACTATACTAAAGTAGGTTGAATGTAAACACTCCCTTAATATTTCATTCAAAAATGGTTTAACATGAAATCATGTTATTTAGAACTGCCAATAAAAAAATTACTATATTATTGTAAATTCTATAAATACAATATAGTTTATTCTCCACCCCCAAAACGCCCTAAACAGCTCTCATTTAAAGTAGAATGAAATCAAATGCCAGCCTTAACATTGCAGAATATATTGCTTTATGTTATCTTACACTTTTGATTTTATATTTGTTAGACAAATTTTTCAATCCAGTCAAACATATCCTTTCTTGCTTGTTCAATGTACGGTTTATCCTGAGGTTTTGTATCATCTGGCTTGAACTGTGCAAAGCCGTGAACTTGCCCAGGGTAAACTTTAAGAAAATAGGGAACTTGACAGTACTGTTTCAGTTTCTCCTCCAGTAAAGTGATCTGAAAAAAAGAACATCTATTATAAGTTGTTTATCATTTTTGCTTAAGTTGCCTATTTAAATTTGTTCATCATTTGCTTTTGCTTAATAGAAGTGTGTCCTTACATCTCGGTTTCTTTTTTTTAAAATAATTCTGCACTTGAATCAGATTTTATCATCAGTTCTTTAAAATAAAGCTATTTTTATAAAATATGCCAATTTAGCGAGTTTCCCAATAGAGACCCAAATTCATGCTTTTGCAAATCACTGACTGATTTGGTGCTTAAGTGACCTGTCCACAATCAGTCACCCACAAAGTTCAATAGTACAGCTGAGAATTGGACCTTTATCTCCAGCTTCCACATTCAGTGGCTTTTAGCTTTGCTGTTCTCCAAGGCAGAGGTCACCAACATTTTCCAGCAAGAGGCCAGAGTAACCCAGCTCAGGTCTGAGATGGGTGTGCACTAGTGCCCAGCTGCTTCTGATGCTTCTATCTCCTGCCTGTCGGTAGCATAATGCAGGGAAATCTCCCCTTTTTTGCTGGAACCCTGGTTGCTCAGCTGTAGCAGACCCTCTGCTGCTGAACACTGTCAAATCCCATGGCTCCATTGGCCAGATTCAAAGGCTCCACAGGCTGGATCCAGCCCATTAGCTTTAGGTTGCCAACCCCTACTCTAGGTGGTGATTGCAGTATCCAAGTAGTTAAGGTGTTTGATTTGCATCCACAAAAATCCCAACCCTGCTGGTCTTGGTATAAAGAGTCTGCTCCCTGGTTCTCACCATGTTTCTCTACATCCTCCTGGAATTGCCTCTCTATAAAATATGTGAGATGCTAAAATGCAGATAAGAAAACTCTATTCCTGAATCCTTTTTTCCTCTTCTACTGTTGGCAGGCTCACACAGGCATCTGCCAGCCAGATTTCCATTGCCATGTAAAATAAAGGAACTATACAGAAAATGAATCCATTTTGTAAAAATAACTTACCTGCTTCAAAGAAATGGTATGATCTTTTTCACCAAAAATAAAAAATGTGGGATTCAGCAAGTTGTATCTGTCTTCAGTGTTCCTGATTATTCCTACAACATATTTGGAGACAGTATTTACATCAGGTAAGATCTGCACTATGTATCAGTCATTAGAAAAAAAATCCCTGTTATATACACTTCAGGGGGACACATCAGCTTGAAAATCACACGAGTTAAACCATTGCTTAAAAACTTCGCCATGAACCTCAAGAGATTTGGTCACTCTTCAGCCAACCCTTTCTACTGAAGTAAAAGACTGAAAGTTCAAGTAAACTAGGCTAGGCAAAATACCCTGAATGCCAATAAAGTCGGGCTCTTGGGACTAACGAAGGAAGCAAACTTCAGGATCAACAGTACCCTACTGAAGAATATGCCAGCTCACCCCAAAGCCAAGGTGGAGTACAAGAAGGAGTTTCCAAGATAGCCAGGACACGTTGCAGAGAGCTTTAAATCAAAAGCAGCAATTTGCAATGGCCTGTAATTCATTTTTGGGTGTAGTTCAGTCTGTGGAACACCGGTGCACAAGAAGCACCACTGAGCTGGCACAGGTGGATATATTCTGTAATAACAGAAGTGGCCCTTAAGGCATGATTTATAGTCAGCAGATTATAGGACTGTAAGCCAACAGTGGCAAAAACCATGATAAATGTGACTATGCCCATATTAGAAAGGACTTTTAAAAAATAATATATTTCATGTTCCAGGTCAAATTAGCCAAATGGGTTCCAAATCATATTGACTGAGCAAAACTCAATTATTCCAAAAACCCTATTGATTGAGCAGACAGCACTCAATCATTCTAAACACCATGGTTAGTATGGTGCTACAATCGGCAAGCATCCTCCATCTCAGACCTCTCACTCTGGGACTTCAGTTACCTCAAAATTCATTGGCAGGCGTTCTATGTGCAGGTCCAAGCCCAGAGGTCTTGGGGTTCAGATGCCCCCAGATACTACAGGCAAATATCCTCCATCCCAGACTCTTTAGGCCCAGACTTCAGATGCTCATATTTTGCCTTCCTTGCCAAGCCAAGATGAAGGGAAGTACTCTTGGCTGATGCTAAACCGGGGAGTCCATCCAACTGAAACTCCTTACAAACGGTGAGCAAACACCTCTCAGGAAAGGCATGAAATGCCCACTCTGCTATCTTTTCTGTCAATCTTCCTATAACATCCACGCTAACTAGACTGGGAACATAGGCAGATGAAAAGTGCTCTCTCTTGCCTCTTCTGGCTTCCTTCACATCCCAAATTGTTGCTCGTACTCTGGCATATCCTTGTATCCATAATGCCACAGCAACAGAGCAGGCTGACAGCCATCCTGGAGCAGAATTACTCAGGGACTGAGACAAGCCTTTTTCTTAGCATGCTTCACTGATTAGCACAAATGTTTGTTCTGCTGGAAAACAAATCATTAGGAAAATATTTTTTTTCCCATTTTCCAAGCCATCGTACAGCTAGTTAGGAAATTTTGGTGGGAAATGGAAATGAACATTTTCTGCTTTGTGAACATCTAAACAACTGTCTGTCCCTGCAAGTTGGTTACTGGGGACATATAGCATGTACTGCTGCAATAGAGTTGTGTTTAAATCTTCAGCTCACCTTTGCATTCAATACTTATCTTTACAGAGTGATACCTAAGTTATATATTGTATATAGCCATGGGAACCTGTTTAAGTGTATATGCATTCTGTACTACCATAGAAGGACACCCCAGTCTGTAATTCAGGATTTGTCAGCATCAAGTGATGTACAGCCATGCCACCCCAGGAAAACCCAACGACACCGATCTTCTTTGCACCATACTGCTCCTTTAGATACTTCAAGACAGCATCAGTTTCCCTAAGACATAAGCAAAAGGAAACTAAGAAATCCATAGTAAAATCATTACCTAAAATTCTGAAAATGCAGAAGTACATCAAATTGTCCCCATATTCTTTCCCCTATCATTTAAAACAAAATCATTTAAACTTTAAATTAAACTTTAGTTAAACATTTAAACTTTAGATTAGTTGCTGCTATTCTTAAATGCAGACTAGCTGTTCTGGCTATGATTTAGAAAAGTAACTTTATTTTGGATAGCATTTAAGGCTATATAAGGATATAAAATATAAGGATATATTTTGGAACTGGTTCAAATACTTCACCCATAAGACAATGAATAAGGACAGGACATGCAAGTGAAAATGATTAAAACAAAAAAAATCTTACATGAGAGATTATTGAGTATGAGAGTGAATCATGAATGGTGTGGAGATAGTAGATGGGGATTTATTATTTACTCTCTTGCATGATACAAGAACTAGGAAATACTGAATTAAATTATTTGCTAGTAACCTTAAAACAAACAAAATAAAGTTCTTTTTGATGTAGCATTGTGACAGGGCATTTGGCACACCTCTCATTTTAAGAGGAGAGGCTGCCAGACTTGGCCAGGGCCAGGAGGAATTTGAGCAAAAAGTTTCATGATTTCATAGGGCTACATATAGGGCGTGCATAAAACAAGAGGTGCAGGGAAAGTGCAGCTAGAACCTTAACAGGATGTTCCTGAGGACACAGTAGAGAGGCTGCAGCCTAGTGCACTTGAGATAGGTGTGTGCTAGGGTCCCCCTCTGACCACAGAAGGGACAGGTGTTAGGGGAGTATGTAAAGTGCTCCAGGTACATGCTCATGTTGATGGCTCCATGCAGGAGCCACCAACCTAGATTTTTTCAGTGGCTTGTGGGATTAAGGTAGAATACAGGCTGGTCCAACCAGGGACCCTTACCCTCAGCAAAAGTGTCCTGGCATTTGGTGTCTGGGTAAGATGGTGAAAGACACAGGGTACTAGGCTAGATGGGCCCGGTATAGCACTTCTTATGTTACAGAATCAAGTTATTGGACAGATAAGTCATGAGTACAGTATTGCCAAATTCCTGTTTTGCGAATCATCATTACAAAAACTTCTGCTAAGCCCACCTATGAGAAAACTATTAACTAAACAATAACCCCAAATTAAAGAGACAATAACTAAAGCACAGTAAAAAAGCCACAAGTCATATAAGCAGACTAATATATCAAGTGTTGAAAGTACAGCATAGTACAGAAATTTTTTTTAAATTGTAGAAATCTCAAAAAGTGTAAACCCATTTCCATTTTACCTTATTTAATTAATTTGGTAAACTTTTAAATGGAATTGCATATACTAAAACCAGTAAATACCTACATATCTGTGCATTGTTTTTGCTAGGGATTTTCAAATGTTAACATGCGTCTGTTCTGAAAATTCAGTTATATTGTTGTATAGTGCAAGTCGTATGGTCAGAAGCCAAGAAGTAGAGAACAGGCCATTGTTAAAGGTTTGTGGAGGTACTTTGTGGCCCACAACCTGATTTTAGAGTAATTGGGTGTCTCTCTGACTTATCTGTTTCTTGGAGTGTCATGCTTTCTTGAAGGACCCTGAAAAAATGCCGGTGTTTTGACTCAGCTCAAGCAGACTATGGACTACAGGTAACCATCCATATATTTTATTTGTTGGTTAAAATGGTTTAATCAGAAATGCGCACACACTTCAAATTCTACCTTTTCTGAAGTGCTTTTAATTTCCAGTGCTTCAGTAGCATCCACATACACCTGTCACTCCTTACATAAATGTCACTTCACAGTTGTCCTTGTTTCATCCAGGGTCTTTTTTCATATGGTTTGAGTCAATTTGTAGTGCTAGTGCACTGTAAGTCATCTTCCCCCTTAATTTTTGTAGTACTTTTAAGTTGTTTATAGTGCTGTAAACATTACATCTGTCCAAGCTGTTAGATGTCTTCCCCAAAGCACTATTTTATAAATCTTAGAAAAGAACTGTAGAAAGTGCCTTAAAAAAATCCCTTCAGGGATCAAGTGCAAGCACACCATGGTGAGAAACTAACGCACTAATCTGTGCGCACACAGTGTTGGAATGTTGGTCAGGGAAGCATGGAAGACATGAGATATATGTGAGACAGGCTGTCTAGTCCCTGAAGGTTGGCCCGGCTGGCAGCAATGGAATCATCAGTGCTCCCCTGCCTGAAGAAGAATGCTCTTGAATCACATCTAGGGTGAATCTGCAAATTTTTGCTGTGGAGTTGTTCAAGAGCAATCCTGTTATCAATTAGAGGAAGCAAGTGTTGTAAGAGATGGGTAGACAACTGGTGATAGAAAGGTTAAGCAAGCTCCTGAAGGACTTGCTTGGGGAGATGTTTGCCACATTCATCATGAATCTGAAGAAAATCAAACCCAGCATCAGTGTCTATGGACAGAGGTAGTAGATGGTAAGAACACTATGAGACCCCAATGGAGAAACCTGGTGGACGCTGAGAAGTAGGCAGTGCTCTGTAGTAAGTTCACAAAGGCAACAGCTGAGTGTGCAAAAGTCAGATAAGAGAGATGAGGTCAAAATCTCACCCAAGAGGAGAAAATGATGCTTTCGTCTGTTCTGTAGGTAGGGGCTATACGCTGCCCTCACAAACCAGTGGTCAGCAGAATGTCCCCTTCCCTCTCATCCCCTGCATGTTGCTGCGACTGTCTGGGCAACAGGGAGTGTTTCAGGGCTGCTCCTGCCCCACTAGCCAGGCTGTGTAGTAAGCCAGGCTCAGCTGGGTAGCAGTGATGGCAGTGACCAGGTTCCTACTACCTGTCCAGTCCCCTTGGCTGTTCCCCAACAGCCCCAGAGAAGTGCAGGGAGAGGGAACCCACCCACTGCCACCCCTGTTGAGTCCAGCTCCCCACAGCCCCAGCCAGAGTGGGGCAGGAGTGGCCAAGACAGCAGCAGTGTGCTCAGAGGTATAAATCATAGAAAATTAGGGTTAGAAGGGACCTCAGAAGGCCCCCCCTACTCAAAGCAGGACCATCCCCAACTAGATCATTCCAGTCAGGGCTCTGTTGAGTCAGGCCTTAAAAACCTCCGAGGATGGAGATTCCACCACCTCTCTAGGTAACCTAGTCCAGTGCTTCGCCAACCTCCTGGTGAGAATTTTTCCTAATATCCATCTGAAATCTCTGTTGCTGCAACTTGAAAACTTTGCTTCTTGCTGTCATCTGTCACCACTGAGAACAGTCTAGCTCCATCCTCTTTGGAATCACCCTTCAGGGAGTTGAAGACTTCTATCAAATTCCCCTCAGTCTTCTCTTCTCCAGACTAAATAAGCCCAGTTCCCTCAGCTTCTCCCCAGAAGTCACATGCCCTAGCCCCTGAACTATTTTTGTCACCTTCCACTGGATTCTCTCCAACTTGTCCACATCCTTTCTATAAGGAGCGGCCCAAAACTGGACACAGTACTCCAGATGTGGCCTCACCAGTGCTGAATAGAGGGGAATAATCACTTCCTTCAGTCTGCTGGCAATGCTCCTACTACTGCAGCCCAGTATGCTGCTAGCCTTCTTGGCAACAAGGGCACATTGCTGGCTTATATCCAGCTTATTGTCCACTGTAATCCCCAGGTCATTTTCTGCAGAGCTGATGCTTAGCAAGTGGAGAGGGCAAGTGGAAGAGAGAGAAGGCAAGTGGTGGAATGGGAGGGGTGAGAAAGTGCCATTTAGCATGGATGGGAAGGAAGGAGGTGCTGAAAGCAGGCAGATGACTTCTTCCTTGCTTCAGTGACCTAAAAAATGTCCCTGGCTACTGTTTCCATGGTCCAGCCTCTCCACCTAAGTGGACAGAAGGCTGGGAACAGGGGCTACAACCACCCCTGCAGTGCTGGTCACTACTACCACATCCCCCCACTTTAAAAATCCTGGATCTGCCTATGGCTGCAACGACTACTCATAGGAAAGTGCCAGAGAGCATGTATCCCAATCCCCTCTCTAAAGGTGTCTGGTGAGTCTACTTCATGTTCTAATGGTTGCACCACATAGCCTGAGCTGCTCAACCCCACTCCCAATATTTCTATGTGGGAGAGCTCAGTTTCCACATTCTGCCCACAAAAAACAATTGTGCATTGCTGGGGATACAAACCTCTAGGCAGCAGAATTGCTTTTTAGCTGACCAGTGGGTAATTAATTAGTGATCAGGAAGGTTAGAAAATGAGCATCTTTCAGGTAATTTTAAAATTGAAATTGAAATGGAACTACATGCATCTCTCCTCACTCTTAATTTTTCTCTATTTCTGTAAGCTTCCTTTCTTAGTCTTGTAGTTTTGCACAAGACAAAACACTTTGTTATAGGAGATTCTTGTCTGTCTCTTCTGGAACCCTTTTCAATCCTTTCCTCTCAGTCTTCTTCCCTGATAAGCAGTACCCTTGACTTTCTCCAGTATGCCAACAATACATGCGCCCTCCTCTCTATGCATATGGCCACCTTGTACTCCCATTAGAGCCTTTCTGAAAATCTCACAGGCACATCATTCTCATTATTTACTATACTAATTCCACAGCTTTAAGTTTCAGTGCAGCTGAAACTTTTAAAACTCCAGGATAAATATATATCTTACCTGTCCACTTTTGTAGGATCATGCTTTTTCAACCAGTCAGCAAAGTCAGCCCAATGATCAGTAGTTGTCCAAGGTTGTCCTTTGAAGAAGTCTGGGCAAATGGCTCTGCACAAAACAAAATTGATTCAGCTTGTGTGCATCTGTGCAATCAAGTCAAGTCAGTCCTAAGGCCGCTGCAACCGTTGGGACACCTTACATGTTATAACAACCCTAGTTGAATTGCTTTGCATCACTGATGATTCTTTGGGCAGAGTGACTGGGTGGCGCCCATCTCCTCTCTAGGTACAGATGGCTGTTGGCTTGTAGGGAGCTCATTTGCTCTTTGGCAGGTCTTGTTTTCAGTCCTGCTGGGTGTCCACAGACCCTCTTCACCCACGCAAGCCCAGGTAGAGGCATCGGTTTAGTCACTGACAACCTGACCACGGAACAGACTGTACTGGTTTACATGGTACCAGATAGCAGACCAAGAGAGGCATGGCCTGACATGCATCTGTGCAATGGCAGTGAAGAAGGTTTACATATACCTAGACAGTCATGCACCTATTTTTTGCCCCATAATTGTTACCCACGTGGTGGCAAAATAAACAATCTCTAAGGTTAGGGACAGACATTCAAAAAGCTTGAGCCTGAATTGATTCAATCTTTGCAGGTTAGTCTAACTTGGCTAGGCTAAACCGTAACTGTGCAGACATCCCTTCTGGATTGAGGAAATTCAGGCACATGCCTGTAGTGGCTCAAGCGAGAAGCCAAGGGTTAGAAGCTACAACAGCCATCCACATCCCTTCCAAAGTGCTGAGCTGGGGGGCGGGGAGGGAGGAGTATGGCCAGGCCCCGGCAGGATGCTCTGATTTGGGAGGGGTTCTCCCCCCTTATTGATAACAGAGCATTTTTCAGCTCTATTATCAGCATTTATCACCCCATCAGAAAACAAAGCCTCTCTCATTAGTTCAAGCTCTTCTTAAACAACTTTTTCCAAGGAAGGAATGGAGGGACATTACCAGCTGACCTGTTGATTAGCTCCAAAAAGCCCTAAGCGGACACTGTCCTGTCTGCCTTTGTCCTGTCTGCCTTACACAGACACCTCTAAGCATTAGCTAGCATACCACATGCTGGCTACATCTGTGCTATGGGAACAGTGAGGGCGGGGCATGGAGCAGGAGGAAGCCAGACAGATGCTGCTGTGCCTACAAGTCTCTGCTGAAGCTCCAGTGAGGGAGCAGAGGGGAGGGACCAGCCCAGCTCTCTCGAGTAGATTGCCTAGCCCAGCCCAGAGAGCATGCTGGGGGACTCTGGTTTAACTTAAACCAGGAAGGGGTCTGGGACAGACATTGCATAAACTGGTTTGACCCAAATCAGTTAAGTCTGATACTACATTCAACCAAGTTTATCTCAAACCAGTTTCAGCCATTTTCAAACAGGTTTATGTACACTGAATGCCTGTTCTGTTATTGGATTAAACCAGTTTCTGATTACTTAAACCAGTTTATGTGTAATGTCTGTCCTTAGCCTAAATCGTTACATTCATCCTGCTTTAGTAGCCAGGGGCTAAAAAATACCTTTCTGTAAAAAAAGTAGAAAATGGATATTGCAACACTTTAGGCAAATCAGATGAAAAGACAAGTGTACTTTAAAGAAACTTTAGCTACAGATGCATATACACACATCTTTTCTGGTAAAAGATAAAGCGAATATTATGTAGGTTAGACTCAAACAGCATTTGTTTAAAAAATAACAACATTATAAAAAGATATGCATATTCATTTTTTAGATTTAATTTCAGTGTAAAAAGTTGATATATATTTTTAAATCACCCACTACAGGAGACCACCAGAATAGTCTTTTGATGGGGTTTTTGTCAATGCACTGCATTTTTAAACAATTAAGAACTCTGTCAGTGCAGCTATTTGGTTCTGTAAGCTGAAGTAGTCTCTTGAAGAGACGTCTGTGCACTGGTGTCTCACAGATTAATTCCATTTTTGGTTGTCTTATTATTTTTCTTCAGATTAAAATTACAGAGCTGCTCATGGGCACGTTTACGCCAGATGTTTTACTATGCAGCAGACTAATTTGCTGCTCAGTAAAGCGCCCCCATCTACATGTGCACAGCAGTTAAGGCACAGTAGACTAATTTACCGTGCTGCCTGATAGTCCTGTCAGATACAAGTGGTATCCAGCAGCGTAGTAAATTACTGTGTTTAAATGCATGTGTAGATGGTGTCATCAGGATTAGTTTACTTCAGCTCAAATTGAGCCAGAGTATATTCATGTAGCAGGCTTACCTTTCAGAGTTTAGGTTGAACCCCAGGCTTGAGATCCTGCTGTTTTGATGGTGGAGCCCATCCACCAATCAGGAGGCAGCAAGAGAAATAACATCACACCCCTTTCCTGAGGGGAGCGGGAGAAGAGCTCCCCCAGACCTGATTATAGACTGCAAACTGTCAGGTCCGGAATACTTCAGGGGCAGAGCCCTGAAGCATATAAAAGGAGCTGAGTGCCCAGCACGAAGGGCAGATGCGCCGGGGTCAGAGAAGAGAAAAGAACGGGGCTTAGAAGAGCTGAGGAGAGCTGCTCAGCAGGGCAAAGCAGTAGCCCAGGAAGAGCCCCTGAAGACTTCTATCAGTGGGGAGCATGGCATGGCTCCAGTGGTTAGGCTCTCGGTGCGCAACACAGTGCACAGCATCCAGACCCTGGGAGCTGCATGAGGTGGCTTGGATCTGCAACCTCTGGTGTGTGGCCAGAGACACAGTGCACAGGCTAGTGCACAGAGCAGGATCTTTGGAGCCCCCGGGGCGGCTCAGCTCCTCAACCCCCAGAATGAGGTTGGGAGCTCAGTGCAGGAGGCGCTGCATGGAGGGTGAGAGACCCTGGGAGCCGCTTGAGGTGGCTTGGGGCAAGAGCTGCTCACATGGGGCAGCAGCTCAGTGCAGACAATGCTGCCCAGAGGGTCTGGGAACAGACCGAGCCCCGGTGCTGCACAAGGCTGTCCTCGCCTCCAACCCCTAGCACAAGGCAAAGCGCCTACTACACGCAGCTGTGCATGTGGCCCTAAGCCAGGACGGCAGCAGGAAAACCCAGCAGGGTACAGAGCTTGACTTGGAGAACAAGAGGTAACCCTCTGGGACTATGGAGTAGTAAGTTACCCTGGACAGCAAAGGGGCACCACGTGGGCCATTCCTGGGTGATAGCGGGGGAGCTTAGGAGTCTTTGGGGTCTTCCTCTCCTTTTTCTTTCCACCAACCTCCTTTCCTGCAGTGGTACCTTGGGAGTGAGGCCCCTGCCCTGGAGGGCACCTAGGTAGTCTAAGGACTGCTAATTATATTTGTAGACTATGCCTTACAGTTTATGTGAATAATCTGAAGTAATAGTTTGTATATGAATAGAGTTATAAGGTTGCCCAATCAATATCCTTTGGTCTGGTTTGTTCTACTGTCCATCTGTACTTTAAATTATAACTGGGTGTGTGTATATATATAAATATATTATAGGGTTTATTGGTTTGTAAATTTGTACATATATATATAATCTATGTCCTTACCATTTAATGCTTTTGTTGTGATAATAAATATGTATATAGTTAAGTAATTGATTGACTGGACCTGACTCTATAGGGGAAAGAGGTGGCCGCTGGGCTGTTGTGTCCCTGTACAGCACGCTGCCCTGCCAATAATTCCCTCAGTTGGAGAGGGAAGTACAAACCCGTGTACACCCGGGCTACATTCAGTTGCATTAATTGCATGTGTAGACATGCCCAGAGCAGGTCAAAATTTGGGCCTAGTAAACATGAGAGTATTTCTTTAAGAAGAAAAAAATAAGGATGATGGCTTACAAATATCCCTGAGCTGCAACCAGATCAACCATATATCTTGTATCTGGGAACTGCCATCCTAGAATGTCATGAATCACAATCACAGCTTTGTCTGTGTTGAAAGATGGTCTGCAGATATAAGCGTTGATGTGTTCAACTTGCTCTTCATGTCCAAGAGGCTTGTATTCAGTTCTTTCTCCAACATCATATAGGAAAGGTGGAACTCGTTCAACCATTTGGAAAACTAAAGCAGAAAGAAAAAGAAAAAAATGAGAGAGATTAAACTATTAACACAAAATTAAATGAAAAGTTAATTTACTGCACTGCATTGAGTAATGCTATGCCATTTACAAATGCAAAAATCCAGAACTCTTGGTTTAGAGAGGATACCTTATTAGACCAACCAGGAAATTGAAAAAAACAAATCTTTTTCTACAAGCTTTCGGGCTCATACACCCTTCACCAGGCTCAGGGGAAAAGATATTTTTTTTGTGATTTCTTAGTTGGTCTAATAAAAGGTATCCTCTCTGAACCAAGAGTTCTCGATTTTTGCATTTATTTTTGTCTCAGACCAATATGGCTACCAAATACACCATTTACAACTAATTTTAACATGCCGCATCTTCAAACAGAAATCAAAACTTGAAAGTAGTGTTCTAGAATGGGAGTGATCCTCAACCAGTAGTAGGTCAGTATGCAAGGAGGGGCAGTAACAGAAAGCAAAATTATAATTAGAGCTTGATTCTGATCTTGCATCTATTTTACCCCTGTCTAAGGCCATTAACACCTAGGAAAATTACCTCTACTGGATACTGGTGTGAGAGAAGAATGGAAATATGACAACTCAGGGTGTTGGTGTGATGGTGAACCAGTCAGAAAGTCATGTAACGGCTAGTAACAACAATTTTTACGAGCAGACAAGCATTAGGTTGGTCTTTCTGTCAAATTTTTGCCATTGTTCAAGCTCAGGCGAAATGGACTACAAATCAGAAAGCACATGGGTGGAGGTCTATGAGGGGCAGAAGGCAACACTAGCTTTATTTCAGACATCTGAGCAACTGTAGAGGCAAATTTGAGCTCTACATTGGAGGAAAAGGTATTTCCAAAATATTATGAACAGCTCTGATAGCACCACCTCTATTAAAGGCTGTCTGATACCATAAGATCTGTTTTTCATTACTGTATCTTTGTCAGTCTTTAACCTGGGCTGAAACTTCCCAGCCTAGGCATTTGCCTCAGGCTGATTTCTTTTTAAAAGTTTCAGCAAAACAGGTTCAACATTTTCCCAGAACAGGATTAGAATAAAATGTATTGCTTTGACCCTGTTAAAATACTTATGAGGGTGTTTCAGAAACTAACAGTAAATTGGCTGCCCATGTATATCTGTGAAAAACTGGGAAACTACACAGTAACAGGGAACACTGGTGGGGCACTATTGATGCACCCATTGTTTGTGCTGTTGTAGGCAAGTGATATGGTCCAGTAAATGAATGCTGCACAAAAATGGTTTCATTTTGTAATTGCCATTTGTTTCTGAAACACCCTTGGACATCATTTCATGGGAACGTTCTCCCATCATCATGCTCTGAGGCAGGCACCTGAAATTTATTGAATGCTACAGAGTTGCTAAAATTCAATGGCTACCAGGGCTGTGTAACAGGGCAGGGCCTTGTTATTAGGGGTGTGGGAGCATCTGAACAACCCCACACCCTGGAAGCACCTCCTCATGCCCACTCCAGACCTGGAAGGACTCACCAAAGGCTGGGGAGCCAGGTCTAGGGATGCAGTGAGTCAGCACGGGAGCTGTCACAGGTGTGGTGACTGAGGAAGCGTTAGCCACATAGGTCAGCACCAGCAAGAGGAAGAATAAAAGACAAACAGCCTCAAAGTGCTGTACCTGACTGGGAGCAGGCTATCTAGAGCTTGGGGTTAAACTACTGCCAGGAGTGGCCTGTATGTTTGTACAAGCCCATAGGCTCTGCAAAGCTTCTGAAAGAGAAGAGGTGGCCAGAAGGGGAAGCCTGGTAGGACCTGCTGGAAGACAGCTAAGTGCTAGTTTATTTGTTTAACTTTCTTTGTTCATTTTGCATTTCTGACAAGCCCCGGTGGCCTCAGGGTGTTATCTATTAGCCTGGTGCAGCAGAGGCTAGGGCCCTGCTACTCATCCCTATACCTTACTGCCCCTGACTGCACTGTGTACCATGCTGCCCACCTCAGCACCCTCCCCACTCAGACCAGTTCCAGTTCCTCCATCCTAGTACAGACCCCCAAAGAAGCCTACCTGTGACCCAGATGTTTTACAGGCAGCTTGGGATGCTGCAGCAGCATGCAGCTCCCTGTAGGGTGTGGTGCTCCTATTTGAACACCAGGTGGCACTATTGTTCTCTGTCTGCCAGAGCTTCAATCAAGCTGCAGCTGCTTGGGGTTTTTACTGACAGCAAAAGGTTTTTTGTTTTATTGGACTTCACTAATAGCCATCTTTAGCCTGATTATTTATTTATTTATTTATTTTAAACTGACAGTTAGTACATTTACTGACAGCTGACAATCCTGGCAGCTATGTTCCCTGAAGATCATGAATGCCATATGCCCCTGGCAGCTGGGGGGGCAGGGCAAGCTCCAGCAGGCAGCAGTGGTGTAGGCAGCAGGAGCATGGCAGTGGTAAGTGTGGAGCTGCTGCAGGCAGCCGCGGCAATGCTGGTAGGGGGGGGGGGGGCGGCGAGTGCCAACCAGGGGTCAGCGACTACCCACAGATGCCACTGGCAGTCAGCAGAAACCAGCAGTGCTCATGGACCACCCGCAGATGCCACCAGCAGTGTTGGCGGAGGGGTGGTGAGCAGCAACCGCCCACAGGTGCTGCGGACAGTGTCGGTGGTGCCTTTTTGTAAGGGGTGCACCGCCAGGCTTAGGAGGTGCATGTGCACCCCCTACATGTCGCCAATGCTGAAGATTCCAGTAGCTCATATCATCCTCTGTGCAAGGACCGAGCAGAGCTTTAACTGTAATTGATCCTGGCTGCTGTGGCCCTGAAACTGGCAGCAGGAGAGTTATCTTTCCTGTGTTTTCAAGGTTCACCATGCTGGTTCCCAGGCTGCATGAAGAAGAATCTGCCCTGATTCAAACACAAACAAGGAGAACTGGTTTGGGTGAGGTAGAAACAGTAATGGGATCAGACTGGTACAAGGAGTTTGATGAAAAGGGAGATTTTCTGGGATACTTGCAGCTACACTGTCTGAGTGCCTCAGAAATATTTATTTAAAAAAATATCTATGTAAAGTCAGGTGGTGCAACAACCCTATTTTTCAGATGGGGAACAGAGATACTAAGAGATTAAGGTCAAAAGCATCTAGCAATTCTACAAAGCAGCACTGGCTGTTTTCAGCACAAGGCCATCCTATTTCTTCCTGAAATCCCTTACTTCATTCATAACACACCTTTCAATTTCTGCTAGAAATATGGGAGGAAGTTACAGATAATAGCCCCTTTCTCTACATGGTCCCAATCCATCCCCAGAGGACAATCCATAATGAGAACTGAATAAGGCAGGGATTTTGTGGAGAGAGAAACAGTGTGGGTTTGTATAATTAAAAACAATGTCATAATGCATATTGATAAGGAACTAAATTAAGATTGCACAGGCTTCCTTAATTCTGGCATTTTCTAATACCTAACTGCTTGACTTTGCCATTCAGGTTTTTGGGGATATGTGTTTGTATGTATTTAGAGTATGAGTATTGCTTCTTGGCCTCCTTGAAGGCTCAGATCAAGTGTACACTAAATATGCTTGTGTATCTCACCCAAAGAACCTTCACGAGAAACTTCTGCATCTATTCAGTATTTCCTGTTTGATCTGTAGCATGTCTTTTGAGAGAGAGAATCTGTTTTAACTTAAAGCCTGCAAGTGATGGAGATTGTACCACAATCTTGCATGGTTAATTAACCTCACTGGTTTTAGAAGGGTAGGGAGGGGGAAGTCCTTTATTTCTAGGCTACTCCATCTCCTCTCACAGTCCATTCCACTCACATTCTGCCACATCACACAGTATTGAAGGGAGCACATGGGTCATTGGGGCACAGAGCCCCATCATTTTGGCCCCTTGTGTGGTTGGAAGCTGGCTCATTGGTAGGGCTTGGGAGAATACTACTCCCTGTTGTTTTCTGCCCCAGTTCAAGCAGCAAGTTAGCCTGTTGAGCTTTGCTCAACATTCATAAAACATACGTTCACAAAACATGTTCTTTTTGTTTACATATTTTCTCTTTTCATTGTGACGGGCTAGCTGGTAATGATTTGGCCCACAGGTTTTGAAAGGGTAAAAGATGATTGGAAGGCTTGGGATTCCCTTCCCTTGCCAATCAGGCCCCAGAGACTTGCCCTTCATGTCCCCTGATTGGCCCCTTGGGTCACCTGGAGGGTGATAAAAGGGGCAACACGGCTGACTCAGGGGAGACCTGCAAAGAATGATGAAGAAGGAGTTTCAAAGAGCTGGGCCAGCAGGGCAGGAGCAGTTGCCCCAGAAGAACCTGAAGGAGTGGGACCTGCAGGGAGCATTTGGACCCTCAGCAGTGTGGTGTGCTGCCGGCAGGAGAAGCTCCCTGCTGGGCTCCAGGATCCCCCTACAAGAGGCTGTGGCCAGCAGGAGAGGTTTCCCCGCTCCAACAAGAAGCTGACCCAAAAGGCTCCCAGCTCTGCTTCCAGCTCCTCCAGCAAGAGGCTGGGAAGCTTAATATGAGGCAGGGGCTCCTAGAAAATCAAAACCCTTAACAGCTGGGGTAGTACTAACACTAGTGGCTGTGTGATAGCGTTTCTGCCTGCTACATAGGAGATCTGAGTTCAAGTCCCAGCTGGGTCAAGTAAAGTGTGATAGGGAAAGGGTGAGTAAAGTAACAGGAAGAAACCCTTGTTGCAGTAGAAAGGGGTCATTATTTTTTCCCCTCTAGGTACCTATGCTTTATATCTCGTTATTTGACACTTTGTATTTGGTGCACTTTATATTTCACCAACCAGTATTGTTTGTTGTGCTGTTTGTATTTTATATGTTGTTAACCCTGTCTTTCATCAACTGGATGAATATGTCAATGAATGTAAATCCCTAACCTTTATTGAATCACACCCCCTCAGGGCATTGTAGTGTCCCCTATACCCCCTGGTTTATACATGTTATGTTCCCACTACTGTTTTCTCATTAAAAGGTACGTAGTTAAATCCCCATTGGTGATCTGGCTTTGCTCTATAGGGGAAGGAGGGTCCCTACACCTCCCACAGCGCTTGTGCACCTGTTCTGATCCCTTCAGTTGGGGAGGGGGTACATCTTGGAGTACTGCCCAGGTTACATCATTAACACAATTCCTGTTCTAATGAGACGCTTACGGTATAAGATGTTGCTTTACTTGCTGGTCACTGGCTTCCCTAAAGATACCCTCTCAGAGGACAGGGGAGTTTGGCTAATTTCTGGAGTCTTAACCCCACACTCAGAGCTCTTGGAATTGTTCTTCACCCAGGAAGTCTTTACTGAGAGTTAACTGCAACCTTATCATAGAGATGTGAAATAATGCATTCCTTTTTGCTTTTGGTCCCTCAGCCTTCACTAGATAATTTTAAGCTAGTTCCTTCTCATTCAGGCTCCCTAAGATGCCAAGTCAAACCTCACCTGACCAGCATGAAAGTTTTTGATAAGATCCTGTTCTGTCAGAAGACTGCTCATAAAATATTCATCCTACACACCATCTCATTCTGCCTGGCCTGGTATGGCAATGCTAGAATCTGGAATATCTACTATCCTCTACTACAGTGGTTCCCAATGAGATGCCCGCAGTTGCCATGGTGCTTCCCCCCCAGGCTTATTCAGGTGCCCGCATGCATTTTCACAATATGCAAAAATCATTATTCCAACAAAAAATATTGTCAATGCTGACTGGACTCAGAATAGCAACACTTCAAACTTTTTTTCACAGGTTGTATGCAATGGCCACCAAAATGAAACTGAGTCCGAGTGTTCAAAGTGTTTCATATCAACCACATCTCTGACTTCAAAGTTTTTTTTTCTCTTGAGTGCATGCTCCATCCAGAATTATAAAAGGTAAGTTTTTTAATATCCCTGTAAGAAAAGGGAAGCTGCATTTTGAAGTTGCAGATCTAATGCAATTTTAAGAAATGGATGAGATGATGAGATTGCTCTAAATTCTAAACTTTAATATTCATATTGGCGCCCACTGCTTTTTCTTTTAAATTTGAATGTGCCTTGGGCACATATACGTTGAGAACCCCTGCTCTACTACTTCATTCCATTCTGTCTTCATGCCAATATTATCTACCACACCTCCCCACATCCTATTTCTCTATGCATATAGTCCCACTTGCTTTCTTATCACAGAATGGTGGCACAAAAGAGATATAGGAAAAGGCACAAAATTAGAATTGGAGCAGAAGCCAATTGGGGAAAAACAGAATCTCTATAAAAGTCTGATGACAAGTTCCTAGTTGCTAAGTCAGGGGCATTTTGTACCGCCTGTCACCAGTACTGTTGCTGGTGCTGCTGCTTAGTGCTCCCTGGGGCTACCGGTCACTATACTATGGTATTTGAACCAGGTGCCTCCTGACTCTGGGGGTCCCCCAGTGGCCAATTGCCAACCAGGGTCGGGGGGTCCCCCAGCAGCTGATTGCCAGCCCTGCAAGTGCCGACAGCAAAACTGGAAGTGCTGCTGGTGCTTCTCCGGAGTGGGGGCAACCAGCCGGTGCTCCCCACTCCCTGGCCAGCGAGGGCCAATCTCGGGGGGGGGACACTTATCCCACCCCATGTGCCCCCTATGATTTGAACCATCAGCCTTTAAACAGTTTGATTTATGTTATAAAAAATCCTGAGATAAACCATTTGGGCTGCAGGCTAGACACGGCCTTCTTGACACTTTTTTGACCCAATGGCATAATCAAATTTTACAGAACACGAATTTTCATTTGCAGTACATTTTCTTCCCCAATCCTTATGATAAAAACCTTGAACACACAATGGTGATGATAATAATGCCCGTCTGTTCTCCTACACCTCAGAAAAATCTCAAAGCACTTTACTATTTGTAGACAACTTGGAACAATGACCTAGAGTGGTAGGACATACTTCATTAATCCCATTTATGTGTTATTTCATCAGACCAAATACAACATACTATGTTCCAGCATTAAGTGTTTTCATTGTTGATGAGTTTAGTGGACAGAACCTCTTTAGTAGAAGAGAATAAGTGGTTATGGATTTTAATGCTAGAATATACTATTATGATAATTTCACCTGACTTCTTGCATGCCACAGACCATAAAATACTGCCTAGTAATTCCTGGCTATAGACTTGTGGTTGAACTGCAACAGCCATCTCAGAAAGCCATCCAACCTTGGGTTAATGGCTTGAACTGATAGGGAACCCACTACTTCCCTTGGCCATTTATTCCAGTGTTTACTAGTTTTCGGAATAAATTTTTTGGGGTTGGGAAAGAAATGAGAAGTGCCATCAGAAGAAAAATGCAGAGGCAGGAGGAACAGAGGAGATTCACAGGCAAGACAAGGAAAGAAGAGAGAAACAAGGGGCAGAAATAGCTGTGCTCCTCACGAAATCTGACTTTCCAGTGGTGATGCTGGCTATGGAGAAACTGCTTAGGGATAGAGAGATTAAAAAAAAAAAAAAGTGTCAGTACTAAACCAGGACCACTTTCTACCCTTGATCTGGGTGCAAACCCTATGGGGAAAACTGCTGAGATTTCAGGGGACATTGAGATCTAGGTCCCCACCTATCCACACACAATAATGCAAAATGAAATTTCAGTCCTTGTCACAGAATGACAATTCCAGGATGGTCTCTTACGTGGCCCAACCTGTCCCTATGGCACTACTTCCAGCAACCAAAATAAAGCACTTTCTCTGAAGTGATGATTTTAATTGTTGTATTTTGGGCATTCTTAAGAGGATATTTTAAAGCCTCCCTTATTCATTTCAGATCACCCTCATTCAACCTGTCTCACAGGTGGAGCAACCACTGAATTTCAACATATGCGAGTAGGATGGTTTGCTATGCACATACCTGGAACATAGACTCCTGTTTAAGCCCAAGTAACAGAGTACTTTGTCCTTCTGAACAGCTAGAAGTCTGCTAGGTGTCCTCAGAGGAAACTAGCTCTGAAGACAATGTGTTGGTGCTGCTGAGTTTCTGGATGCTGTATCTCTCCTGTGAGGCTTGGAGCAAGAAGGTTGAGGAGGCAGCAGCTGCTTAAAAACCAGCTATTATGTGAGATAGGGAGGAGACAGATTCATGCAGGGAGGCAGGGCTGATAGATTTCCTCACCATGCCTGTTAGTCATTGAAGGATTTGGAGAAGTGTGACACAAGCTGGGGCCCCCCAAATTGCTTTCATTTCCTTCTGTATCAATCTCCCATTTTCCTACTTGACAGTTGCAAGATGCTTAAAAATAAATTGCTGCAAACAAAAGAGCAGTGAAAAGTAGGGAGACAGACCAATTTTCTCAGCAACACACTGCAACTTTCCATTAAACCCTCTTGCCAGAGCTGAATGATGCATACCATGCAGTCATGTGAGTCTCAGCAGTGCCTTTGGGTTGGGCCAATTATGGCTGACATCCTCTTATTTTAGTTCAGTGATACATTTGATTACTGTCTGTGCACATACATTATTTCTAATAGGTCCTGTCTTGTTCTAAGGTAAAGCTAGTCTTATCTGTACTGGAGAAATGTGCTGTCTAAAAGTCCATATTGGACACTGGATACACATGCCAGAGAGTTCCAAATAATTTACATTTGTTTCAAATAAGTTTTTGAGTAGACTTGCTTTCAGGCAAACTAATGCCCAGTTCTGTCAGACATACTAAGCCCAAACTGGACGAGCCCTGATGGTGACCTTTTAGAAACTCCCAGCATCTACTTCTTCTCTGACCCATACTAGACAAGTTTAAAGTTAAATGTCTTTCACAAGCATTCTGCTGCTTCGTGGGTAGGGACCTACCAAAACTGCGATTGTGCATTTTTCGTGGAAACAGTGATTTCGTGCAGGCTCTGTACTTTTGGTGGGCTTGCTGCAAAAAAAAAAAAAAAATAAAATGAAATAAACTTACTGGCAAGCAGAGAAAAGCACATGGGAATCCCTGCAGTCTTGGACAGGGGGAGAAAGTGGAGGGGGAGGGTAAGGTGAGCTGGGCCAGGCCAGGTTCCCTCTGCTCTGCCCCGAACCCTGGCCTTCCCTCTGCCTTCCCCCTTGCTCCAACACTGCAGGATTTTCCTACATGCTTTTCTCCGCTTCCCGGTAAGGTGGGTTTTTTGTTCATTTGTTTTTTCAGCAAGCCTGCCAACAGTGCAGAGCCTGCCATTTGGGGATGGCCCGAAACTGCAGCTTAATTGCCCTGATTAAGATGGGAAGCGATTAACCCATGCTTAATAACACGGGGATTAATGGCTTCTCTGGGCTTAATCAAGGTAATTAAGTCATGATTTTGGGCCATGTGGCAATCTGTGGGGAGGGGCCAGACTGTTGTGGCCCCTTGGCCAGTCAGGGGTGTCTGGGCACCCTGCCAGTGCTCAGCCCATGAAAATGATGGCCAGCCTTAGGATCTACCTGTGAAATCGGCCAGCCACTTCGAGTGTGGTAAACCCCTATCCCTGGGTGCAATGCTGGAATTTGAGATTTGGCCTAGGGAAGCAGAACAATCCTGAGGTCAAAGAGTCTCCTTCACTGTCCTTATGAAAGAGGAAGCTGGGATCAACAGAGTAGAACCCAAATGGTGGGCTCTGGTGTGGTGCTGGTAGATTGCTCTCCATGAATGGGTCATGGCTTAGAATCTGTCTTCTGCCTACACTCTGAAATAGCTCATCTCTGTCTTTTCAGTGCACACGACAAATGCCACCTCTATTTTTAGAGTTTTGAGGAAAGAGAGGAGTCTTAAGGGGCAAAGGATGCACAGTCTAAAACATATTGATTATAGGCCTTTCCCTCTGGAAATGGTGCTGCTACCTTGTTTGCTTTTCCTGAAGGATTGCATGGACACAATTATGTTTCATGTGGTTTTCCAGAAATGGGTGTGGTGTAATTTCCCAATAGGAAGTATTCCAGGGCATGCAGGGAACAAAGGGTGGCTGCTTCATGTTTTAACCATCTGCTGACACATCAAAGAAGACTAATAGAGGTATCTTAGTGCCATCAATGGGAAAATACTCCCACATGTATTATTTTAATCAGTGTAGTCTACCAGGTGCTGTACTGTACAGGTGCTACCTCCCTTTGCAGAGAACTTAAGAGAAATCTCCTGAAACTAGCCTCTCTCTCCACAACCAGTACCAATTTATTCCTTCTTTCACTTCTGTGCTCCCCTCACTGCTATAATTAACTGGCACCATGGAAGCACAAGCATCTTCCCTCAAAAGACAGATTCTGAAATGTCTCCTGCACAGATGAGAGCTCCTTTTCAAATGCAGTGGGTTTGTCTACTCAAGACGCTTAATGCACAGTAGACAAATTCTACTCTGCATTATTGTGTCACGACAAAAACTGTGCTAATGTACAGTAGAATTAGTTTACTGCACACTAAGCATCATAAGAATACCATGGGCTGTTGCTGCTGTTCATTAGTGACAGCTACTGCACACTTACGTAGTACTTCAGGGGTACTAAACTTAAGGCACAGTAGCAATGGTGCATTAATGCATGTGTAGACGTGCCCAGTAATTCAGATCTGCTACAAGCTGCAAATGGATGACAGACATGTTCTATTAAACAGAATCTTTCAGTTCTTCACTGATTTTTTTTTTCCATACCAACACTGGTCCAGGCCAAATATGTCTTGACTTCAATTCCATTAATGTCTTAAGCACACTGTCACAGTACATTTATTCACCTGGCTAGACTCTATTCTCTGTGACAGCTATCACCAGTTATATTATTGCAACTTAATCTCCGTGCTATTTGGAGTATATTAGCAAATTGAGGCCACAGTCTGTGTGATAGAACACGGGGGAATAAATCCATCCCCCCTGCTAGAAAATTATTTAAATTGTCTCAATTAACATGTTCTGCTGCTAATAGCATCTAACGAATTGCTGAGGTACACAAAATAGCAGTAGTGGGAGAGCAGTCTGTCAGAGATGTATTTAACTGGAGGCTGAAAATAATGGACAGTTTTGAGGTGGGCCCAAGCATAGCTTTGGTTTTAGAGCTATCATTTTTAGAAGGCAAGCAGCAGCATTCTACATTCTAGGCATATCAGATGTGTCTAAAACTTTGTTTTATTATTTGTTGATCTGGAAGAGACAGAGAAACATTAAGTTCACCAAAACCAAATTAGAAGCTAAATATCTTCTACAGAACTTGTGCCATTCCTCTTTGCAGTCAACTTTGTTAGGCAGTCTGCTCTAAAATGGATTTCAGAGACTGTCATCATACTAAACAACAGGAATTACCTTTGAGATAATGTCAAAATGTATTACCTACATCTTTATGGAAGAACAGCTTTAAATTCTTAGCAATGCATTGAAGAAGCTGTGAACTGTTTCACAGGTACTTACTTTGAGCATTTTTACATTTTTTTTTACTAAATGTAGAAACATAAAAGCACAACATAACCCATCACATGCAACAAGTAACACACCGCATGCATATCCAAAACAACATGTCTATATCTACCATTTGATTCTTTTATAAAAAAATTCTGATTTCATTAACCATAACCTGCTTAGCCCCATCAGACAAACAAAAAAAACCCCCTCCATAAAATCAAAACACAACACCTCAATGTCCCGGCTTGACAGTGGTTTTCCCAAACAAAATCTTTCCCTTATATATTACACAACAAAAGAATACAGAAGCATCACATATGCACAGAAATCATCCTCTCTTCCTCACACAATTCCACTCTCCTCACCCCCTTCTCCCCCTGCCATCAACCTTCCTCTCTTGTCAACCTATGAGCATTTTTACATGTGCTCCAGGGGTGGGGTGGGGGGGTGCTTTAATTAGCGTGGCTCCAAGAACTGGTCTAATTAAAATGCCCTCCACCCCACCCCTAGAGCACATGTAAAAATGCTCCAAGAGCCGCTTTACTTAAAGCGCCTGGAGCATCTCAGGTATCAACATCCTGGCACTTCAAAATGGCAGTGTGGGTGTTTTATCTAAAGCTCGTTGAACAAGCTTTTTAGTTAAAGCACCCCCACCACTATTTTGAAGTATGGGGATGCTGAGACATGAGATGCAGCGGCTGGCTGGAGCATGGTAATTACCACGCTCCAGAAGACTCGATTAATTGAGTCCGCTCTGACATGCTGTAATTACAGCATGTCGGAGCACCCTCCCGGATCATGTACAGGCACTCTTTATGCCGTACGTTGGCAATCTGCTTTAAAGGTTTCTCTGTGCAAGACCCAGGTTCTTGAAATAAAGACATGCAGCTGGCCTGACTGCCGCAATTATATGAATCATTAAACTAGTCCTTCATCCACTATTAATCTGCTTTATAAACCTAAAAATACCCACAACCAGAGATTATTTAAGGTAACCAGGGGTGTTTCAGCTTCTGCCATCCAAAAATAACCCACAGGCTTTTCAGTCATCAGAGCTGCACCGACATTTGACCATGAGCCTTTGAGGATCTTTATCTTACACAACATGTGTCTGCTACCCCTGGGAATTTGTCTCACTTCCTTCCACTACTGTTCTTTACTATGCTGTGTTATTGCCATCAGACCTGATGAAGAATGTCTTGCATTTGAAAGTTTGTCTAACTGTATCCCAGCTACATAGTTGGTCCAATAAAAGAGATCACCCTGAGAAATCCTTGTCTCTCACATAATTTCTGGACTATCATGGCCAGAATGTCACTCCAACACTACCACAACATTTTGTGTCAGCTCATTTCTCTTCCCTGCCTCCCAAGAGCAAGAGAATAAACCAGTTCAGTTAAATAAACAAGTTCAGTAGCCATAAAGTAAACTTGAAAAGTGAAAAATATTGTTTGGAGTAAGCACAAATCTACTTTGATGCCAACGATAATGAGAAAACTAATAATGTTTTTACTTACTGTTGGAAAGAGTTATTTGCTCAGCATGAGTGGACAAGCAAAACAGGGCAAAGCTGATTTGCAAATGCATCATTTCTTGCCCTGTCTTATGAATCATTATTTCCCTCACTTACTTTACCACCCACTTTCTTTTTATGCTCATTCCTTCAGAAAATAAAAATGAATCTTTCATCATTTCTTCCTGAATCTGTCTGTCTGCCACCTTGCATTCTCCCTTTTTTGGATGGATTGCTCACTCCATCTCTCCATCTGTTTGTTCCCCTGTCTCCCATTCCACTAAAACTTATTTCTGGTCTGCAATTTCCTTCTTTCTACTT